GCAAACTAAGAATTTAAGTTTTTCGGCTGTCCTTACTTTTCTTTATCTAAAGAGGCTAAAATTATTCTAGGCCTAATTCTAAAAAACGACCAGATTAATTTCAGTTGAAGATGTGTCTGGACGTCTTCAACATCTGTATTTTCATTATTTCTTGTACAGATAGTCATTTGCATGACTATTTTTAAAGTTTCTTAATCCATTCCTACGAAACAGAAAAATTCTGTATTATGTAAGTCGGTGTTAAACGTTTATGGGTCTCTGTATTAGCTCTAGCATTAGAGGCTTCAACGTGTTTAAGCAGCTGCCCGAATGCCATATTATCCAGCTTTCATTTCTTGAACTTGTTTCCACCTTCACGATATGCTCATAATAATATCTTTTTTTTTTTTTTTTTTTTCTTTGTTTCTCCTTTTATAGTTCTACGAATGTTTTGAACTATTTTGCAGTTAAATCTTCGACGCATCAGACATATTCTCACACTTTTATTCAATTCCATTTTGAATAAAATCAATAAATTTATTCTCTTTCTCATTTAAAAAAATAAAAGGTTACTCTAACGGAAGTGAAGGGCTGCAACATAAAATCGACATTCTGTAAGATCGATAGTTTTTCTGCCAGCACACGATCGACTGACTACGTCAAAAGAGGTTTCGATCTTATGCTGGTGTCGAATTTACACACTTTAAAAATAATAATTTAGTCATATTCCTTTCACATTCGTTATATTCCGTTTCTAAATATAAGCCTTGTTTGCTCTATATTAATGTCGATTATATACCGATGACGATGCTACGCAGTGTCGATCGAATGCAGGTATCAACTCTATGCATTGTCGTCTGTATGTTTGCATCGAATATAGATTAATTCCCTTTCTTATTAATGAACATTTCAATTTTATTGTGTCGATCTTGTGCCGATATCAATGGTGTTATTTCTTCAGTCGAAACTGTAAAAAGGTGCGAAGCGGCCAATCACAGGCAAAAATTTAGAGCGACCACCCAATCTCTGAGAAGAAATATTTATCAATTAGACAGAGACAAGTGACAGAATACAGTAAGGCACGATTAGTGCTATTGAATTTTCTTAGAAAGCAGTATTTAATGAGATGGGATATACCGAAAAATGGTAAAAAGAAAAATTTTAAGAAACTTAACTAAAAAAAAAGGAAAATAAAATGATGAAAAACAAAAGAAGTCAAAATTAAGATGAAAAAAAAAACGAAAATAATATGTGATTTTGTCAGATCTTTAATCGGAGCAATGAAAATCTATTCTTAAATAAGCAAAGCACATTGTATGAGAAATGTATACTTGAAAACACATTGTATTATTGATAAAGTTTTACTTCTTACAGTTGTATCAGAATATGCCACAGCAGCGTTAAATACGTGCCACCTAAAAACCCGTTCTAACTTCCGCAAGATAAATGTAATACAAACAAAAAAACATTTTTTTAGCTATTTTTATTTCCTAGAACATTTTACGATAGTCACATACGTCATTTAATAAACACAGATGATTTCAATGTAAAATAATTCTTTAATTAACACACGCCCAACAAATATAGACAGATATCAAAGGTTACTTCATCGTATTCTTTTATGAATCTATAAGTTATTTTACTGCCAGTTTTAATCTGCCAGTTATTATAATTTAAACCTTTAGTATAACTTCTTTACTTAGTTCTCACCAAAATGCAAATTATTATTTATTTATTTATTTATTTATTAGTCCAAAGGGATTGAATTCCCGAAGGACTATAGTTTCGTTTTGGCATTTTGCGTCGGACGATAAATGTCGGTTACTTTTCAAACTGTTGCACAAAATGTAGAGTCCTGCATTATTTTGAAGAAATTAAATAATGAAATCTACGTAAATGTATGTATATTTCTCACATTGTCATAAAATAAACGGTACATAGAGTCATCGAATTTTGAATAACGTAATCCTCCAACGACTATGAGCATGTGGAGACCAATTTGAAATTGAAAATTGTTTTATGATCGATTTTCCTATTTTTAAAAACTTTGACGAATTTTTGATTAAACAAACTCAAGGATTTCAAAGCGAGCAATGGCAACGTTGTGCAGAAAAAACATTTTATCTCCAGCGGTGAGTCTCTGTATCGGAAATTCTAAAGATATGCTCGTTTTAAAACTATTTTGCGATATTGCTGTTGCACTGGATCTTATGGTTTAAGTGCGAGGACATGATATTTAATAAGAAAGGTAACACACAAAATGTTAAAAAACAGCCCTTTGGACGTAATTTAAAATCTGAAACATTTCAGATTTTTTTATTTTATTTTTTTTATTTTTTTTATTTTTATTATTTATTTTTTTTTTTTTTTTTTTTTTTTTTGTGTGTGTGTGGTGTGTGTGTGTGTATTTAAGTTGACTGTTTGAATGTTTCGATTAGACCTTCTGGCAACCGCCTCTTCATCTTCTGGCAGTCTATTTTATGTGGAATCTCATACTACATTAGATTTGAAATTTAACGTTCTGTTATGTTAATATAAATACCCGTAAGTCACGGATGTTCGTCTGTCGCATAAGCTGTGCTTTTTCTGTTCGTTTAACCGCTAAATAAAGAAAGGTTATTTTAGCCTGCATGATTTTGACACAATCTTCTCGATTATAGTAGAACACTTCATTTGGCGCCGAACTAGTATATTAAGAATCAAATCGCAGACAATGCTACTTTTAACTTGTCGCTGCTTCCAAGACTCCACGTTCCTACTGCACCAGCAAGTCCGATGGAAGAATTCGGTTTTATAACGGACACTGCGCGAGCATCAGTGAAACCAGCTAGACGTAGAAGTTGCGTTCTGACTTTTTAGGAAATCTGGAAACGTATTTTTATTATATCCTATTAGAGAATGGCGAAGGTGGCCATAGCAAGAGCTGTGCTTCATTTTTGGTTTTGTGCTCTTATTACAGAATATTCATTAAAGTTTTTCTCATATTACGGCGGGGCTATACTTGTTCCATCAATGGTGAAATTCTGCAGTCCTGCCCTTTTCTACCTGTACCTGTAGTATAATGCAGCCGCCAAGATGGGATAGTGTTTAGTGACACTGACTGTTGCACCCAAGGGCCCGGGTTCGAATTCCGGGAAAGGTATGGATGTTTATAAGTACAGTGCCTGTGCGAAAAGGGGACACTCAAAATATACGGCAAGTCGAAAGGTTTTCGAGAGGCTGGTGCTAAGGGAAGAGAAGTGGCAGACACTTGGATCGTACCCCGCTGTGTTCTCTCTTGGAATTCCATGTGGAGCAGCAGCTTAGCATTAGCAAGGCCCGATGATACTTAACATACACCTACGGGGATGCGCAGGTGCTGGCGCTGCTTCAACTTGTACCCACAGTCAAATGCAGCCGCCATGGTCAATATATTGGTTCTTGACGCTGATTGTCGTAGCAATGAGCTAGGGCTCCGATCCCGCAAAAGATATGGATGTTTGTAAGTGTCTTGTGTCTGTGTGGCATGGGAGCACTCAAAATACTGCCGAGGTGAAAGGTCCTTAAGTGGTTTGGCGGTAGGGGAAGAGGCGTGAAAGATCTTCGAGCGGTTTTATCGGGGTGTTCTCGATCAAAATTGGGCGGAGTTACAGAATTATTGGGGTGAGATTCTGGTGCCGTGCTTCCTTGTACTTGTACCTGGAGCAAACCAGAGTGAAACGCATCCAAAAAACATCCCATTCTGATGTAGAATTTAATGGTCGTAAATCATGAAAGACATTATGATTTTTAAAGTGTTGAAAGCTTTACGTGCAAATGCATTTCTTATAGTATTTAAAATCAGTTTCATTGATAATTGGACGCATAGGCATGGCTCGTTGGTTGGTTGGCTTATTTAATTATGGAAAAGCATTCAAGGGCTACCTGCCTAGGGGAAGAGATGATTTCGTGGAGGACTTTCTAAGGAAAACTGCCTGGTTACACATGGGGAAAACCACAAAAACGCCCATGAAGCCAGCCCGTTGTTTAGCCATTGGTGGGGGCGTAGCTATGATGCGGCTGGTGAAAGAATTCTATCCTTCGACCCCATTTTTGATGGTACAGTGATCCCTCGTTTTTCGGGGTTAATGGAGACCAGAACCTTCCGCGAAAGCTGAAAAAACCGTAGGATTTGCCCCTAGGAATTTTCGTGTATGCGGGTACAACAACGTTTTAAATATGTAAACAGTATTTATACTTTACACATTTAAGACAAAAATTACAACAGTACACGTATTTACTTAAACATGTCAGTGCTAATTAATAAGGTTAATTATAAAACCTTATACAGTAATAAACATTAATCAACATTGCTTTCTGAGAGAGGCGAAGAGTCTTGTGTTGGTGGCGGAGGAGAGGCTTTTACTTGACTCGTAGAAGCTTTAGGCTCACTCGGAAACTCTTCTACTGGAGACGCTGACGGTAGAGCCGGGGGCTTTTATCTTGGAGAGAAATATGGTGATGGGTAGGTGCTGTCTTTGTTTTTCCCTTTTCCTCCAAAATTCCCCTGTACAAGGACATAACTCCGTCAACGCGATTGCTGAACTCGACAGCTCGAACCATATTGTTATCTGTCTTGTGCAAATTGTTGCATCGCTCTTGCCATGTTGCACAATTGTTGCAGATTCCCCAGGGTAAGGCTACGCTTTTCAGTTTCTTCTTCGTCTTCTCTTCGTTTTCTTCCTCACTTGCAAACTTCGTCATCTCAAGGAGGTCTCCATCGGTCAGTGGGTCCGAGTGGCAAACGATAAGGGCGCTGAAGTCTTCTTTTGTCATGTCGAGAAATCCTTCATTCCTTATGATATGAGCCAGTCTCACCGCCTTCTCCACCGCTGAGTGATGAACTTCTTCAGGAGTTAAGCCTGGATAGTCGTGTTCCACGTTCGGCCATGATTTTTTTCCAGTTAGAATTTATATGGTCTCACTCTTCATGTCCTTTAATGCTCGCTGAATATTAGACAAACTTGAGGCAATGTCGTAACTGCTCCAGTATGCTTTCAATGTTAATTCGTCATTGGCATCGTCAACTGCCGAGATGAAGCCCTCCATCGTGGAGCGAGTGTAGAGTGCCTTAAAGGCACGAATGATACCTTGATCCATCGGCTGAGATTGATTAGAGATGTAGTGTTCGGGGGCAGAAACTCTATCTGCACACCGTCATATTGCAGGTCCGTTGCATGGCCTCCTGCACAGTCCATCAGGAGAAGGACTTTAAAAGGGAGGCCCTTTTCAGCCAGATACAGCTTCAGTTGTGGAATGAAGCAATGGAGAATCCATTCAAGGGTCAGAGCTTTCGTTATCCAGGCCTTGGAGTTATGCATCCAGAAGACGATCAACACAGCCGTATTTCTGTTTTTTAATGCCCGTGGATTTTTGGCTTTATAAATAAGGCCTGGCTTAAGCATAAAACCTGTAGTGTTGCTAGCCTTTATGACAGCCACACGGTCTTTGTGAGCCATGAAGCCTGGCCTCTTCACTTCGTCTTTGAAGAGGAATGTTCTTTTTCAAAAACGGCATGTTCCATCCATGTTGAAACTTGTTTAGGGAGATAGCCTCCCTTACTGATGAGGTTAGGAAACTCTTCCTCCACGTAACGACAAGCAGCATTGTTGTCAGCAGAGGAAGCCTCGCCATACAGAAACACGTTTCTGAGGTCGTATCTTTTTTGAAATTTTTTCGAACCAGCCTTTGCTGGCTGAAAAGACTCGTCCTCGAGGAGACGAATAACTCCTGGCAGCGCTATTACTGGTTTGAGTTTTGTCAGCACCTTTGTCAGCCTTTTTATTGTCGTCATCAGGCAAGATTTGGTCGTACAGAGTTCGATTGTGGCCTTTGTTCTGATCATATTAGTGTCCAAACTCACTGTCTTTGTCCTGCAATCAGCAATCCAGAATGCCAGTGAAGCTTCCATTTTCACAATTCTGTTATTATGCGGAGGTACCACACGTTTCGCTTCGTTAGTGAAGTTTACTGAAGTAGTTGTGCGGATGTTTGCTTCCTCTTTCTTGACGTACCGCACTGTAGATTCATTCACTCCGTAATGGTGTGCCACAAATGCATAACTTCTGCCCTCTTTGATCATATCTAAAAGTTTTACTTTTCCCCTGATGGTCATCATCGTTTTCCTCTTGGGCGCTCCGGAGGAAGCTTTCACAGGGGCACAGCGCTTAGGCGGCATCATAAGGGCTTAATTAATAAAAAAAGTTATCGCTTAAACAAAAAACAAAAAAAAAATATTGCCAACACAACACTAAATACAGTTTGAGAGACAGTCAACATCATGGACAAGACTGGCGAGATGCAAGAGAATATGCTAGGTAAAGCTGCGGTGATGCGCAGACAATCAACTCACAAGTATAAATCCTCTCGTACTCTCATTGGTCGATGTCGCACCGGAAATATCACGCACCTTTAGAGCCCATGAATGTACTCTGAGTAAATCATCTCTTGTTGAATGCAGAGATTCTCGCTCGGCGCATAAACCATGAACGCCCCGTTCCCAATGTGGCTGCGGACATGGTTTGATTTATTTTATTTTTTGATGAATATTTTGGAAAAACCCGCGAAGCACTGAAGCCGCAAAACATGAAGCGCGAACACTCTATTCTTAATGGAGATAGATGTATCTTGATTTTCTACATTGTCAATAATTTAATTTTCTAGAAATCGTTCCTCTGGCAGACCTTGCCCTTTCATGGTACCAACATATCACCCCTATTCTAATACCCCATCCGCAAAAAAGTTACGAGTAAAATCCTTGATTTCATGACTGGTAAAGTTTTCTCAGATTTTACTCTGATAGAATTCTTTCTTCGGCATTGTCTAAAGCAAGTCCAGGAGACACAGCCGCATATGTCTACGTCTTATGACCAAGTCTTCTAAGAAAAAGAAAATGTCATTACCAAAGCTTGCTGTAGCATAAATTAGGTCGCAGTTTTGCAACCGTACTGTGGAGTTGAAATATATGTGGTAAGAGATGGCGAAAATTTTTAAAAGTATCTGTTGCAAACATTTCAGGTATTTTCAGATATTTTAAGTTCCGATAAAGAATGAGACAAATAAATATATATACTTATTCCTCTACAATATTTTTTATCATGTGCTTTACAAAGTTTATTGTAATAATCCTTTCAAACCATGCATCTTTTCGTAGTAAATTGAAAATATTTTGGAACTCATTACTGAAATATTTTCACCTTTAATACTTAGTTTTTGAGCAAGAAATGAAAGCTTTTGCAATTTATAGCGAAAGAAGCTATGAAAAAAATTAAGAGAATATATATAACGATACGTTTTCAAAATCCTGTATGAAATAACAAAAACGGAGACTCTTATGAAAACAGGCTGGTTCTATTCTTCAAAATAAATATTTCATTAAATATTTTAAAACATAAATACAACAAAAAAGTACTTTAAAGCAAAACTTACGTGTGTTAAGCAAATTCATGAAAAATAAAATGTAACTAAATCGACAAAAAAAGACATTCTTTACCTTATGCTAACTGACGTTTGTGAAACAAATAGCTTGATATGAATAACTTTTAAGATTATCTGTAAGAGTTTGTTCACTTTTGTTTTCAGTATTAACTGAAATGAATATTCTTCTAAATTTCAAGGTTCCTGGAATGTTTCCTTACAGCACGAATCTATGTAAAATAATTCAATGTAATAAATAAAATATAAATTAAATTGATAAGTAAAACAAAATAAACTGAGACGTAATTTAGAAATCATAGGAATCAGGTTTACAATATAACGCTCAACAGCTGCATGTGGGAAAAGCATATAATATACTGAAATGCCTCCTGAATTAGGAATAGATATGGCTTGCAAATTTTGTAGCGCTGTGCCGCATTTATCTTCACGTGGGGGAGTTGTGGTAACTGCATACATAGCTAATATTATGGTTGTTGTTAATCAGTCGTTTCAATTGTCATTATGAGTAAAATTTTTATTTAAATGCCTTCGATCGCGGACACATTGTAGGCACTCGCTGCATCGGTTATTCAATTTTCAAAATCATCAAAGAGCTAGGATTTTCAAGGTCGACAATGTCAATCGTATACCGAGAATATACGGATAGTGGTGAGGGGGAGAAACTAGCGATCGGGTAAATTGCAAAAGACAATTAACCTTGAACGAGCGTAGTGTGAAACGGCTCATCCGTATTGTACCTAGCCAACGAAGCCAAGCAATAGCTCAAATTACCACCCAGTTGAATCATCTTACCATCATATAGTCAATAAATGGATCGTAAAAAGCTCTCTTTACAATATAGGTTTCGGGAACCGTAGACCCACGAGAGTACCATTGCTCAATGCATGGTATCAAGCTGCATATCTTGTCTCGACAACAGAACATAGAGAACTCTAGGGGACTGGAAATGAATAAGCATGATGTGATAAGTCTCGAATTCTGTCTAGTTAACACCGACAGAAGGCTGAGAATGCGGCGTCAGGCTCCTGAGGTCATGTATGCTGCATACCAGGTTGGAACGGCAAAAGACCATGGCGGCTCAATCATGATCCGGGTATTTCTCTTGACAGTGTGTGGGATCTTTGATACATGTACCGACCTTACTCAATATGATTCGGTACGTAGAGTTTCTAGATAATCATCTCCACTCATCTATGTTGTCCTGTCATTCACACGGAAATGGGGTATTCTAGTAACTTCTCACAGGACCCGGTTGGCTATTGCCTGGTTGGATGAGCATTCCCCTGCCCTTTCTGTCATGAATTGGCTACCTAGAACCCTTGACTTAAATCCTACTGAGTACCTTTTGAATGTTTTGGATAAAGATGTGAAATATCATACACACTTCACAATTATTCACATCATACACACTTCCTGAATTATGGACAACCCTATTTCCGAAACTAATGGAATCAATGCCTCGTCGTGTGGCAGCCGCTATCAAGGCTGGAGGAGGCGCAACTCGTTCTTGACTTGTTATCCCTAATTTAGTGGCACTTCTGTGTATTTAGAATGTACATGTAATTTGAGTTTTCCTTTTTTTAACAAATCTGAAAGTTCAGCGAATTTTATTTGATCTTAAGCCTCTGGACGTAATTCCAGCGCAATGAGCAGAAGTGGTTTAATTTGTTGTTTTATTGAAGTAATTGAATCCTTTCATTTCATTTAAAATTTAATGCATCATCAAAACTAAAAATGAGAAATTTGAACTTTCCAAACAGTTTGTACACTCCAAGTTCCTGATTACTAGTGTAGAAAACTTTCCGAAATAAAAACAAAAATTAGTTTCAATAACTAATTTTATTCCTTATTGCGCAAATTCAGCAGTAGTAACGGAGAAATGGCTAGAATTATCTTTCCAATAATTAAAGAGCATCTTCCAATGGACCTGTATTAGCGAGTACCAAAATAAGAAACTGCGCAAGTATTGGGTTTCCGAGATTATGAGCTTCGGCAACACTCTTTGGCTGGTAATTAATTCTATCAATATTTACAATGATTTTATTACTGAGCTGAATGTATTCCTTCTGACAATAAATGAAGAATGTGCACCTGTTTTCAACTGAAAAAGAAAGCAGAACAAATGATATACCCTTTATAAAATGCAAGCACAAAAGTGACAATAAAATTCATAGTTAATCTATTTCAGTTGAAAAGAAGCTCAATGCTGAAATAATTTTTAAACCTCACAGGTAGTTCGTTTCTCCTAAAATGCTTGCTTTCTCGTTTTTGCTTTTATTTGACATAAGTATGAAAAGAGAAAAAAGATGTCTTTCCCATGACATTGTCTATCATTTGCATTTTAAATATAATAGTAAGTGGTTGATTACGATTTCAGTTGCAACATGGATGAATAATTATCACAACTTTCCATCCGTGTTAACTACACACAAGCTCTTACGGGCGGCTTTTGTTTCCACAATCATTTTTTCAGGCGTACACTTTCAACTTTGCTGCTTTAAATATAAGGAAAATATTCATATTATGGCATTTTCATATTACAAAGTTAATTCTATAAAGACTATGAAATCTTAAAACTCGTTTTTTATTCGGCAGACAATTCCAATAGTTATACATATAGAAAACATTTATACTCATTCTAAAAAATAAATCAAAGACAGTTTCATTCCTGCATGACAATAATTGATCAAGATATTTAAATTTTAAAATTTCCGGTTATATTAAGCAGTCGTAAACTAACGGAACGACGAAAGGTTTGCATATAGTTAAAAAGGAAATATCAGTTTAAAAAAAGGCTTTTTTGGTAAGTTCGTACAAGGAAGTAACAATAAAAACACAAAATACCTTCTTTAAAAATTTTAATGTATAGAAAAACATGAAATACCAAATAAAGTTAAAAAAATTTTAAAAAGAATTTTTAAAATTAAAAGTAGGGTTTTTACGCAAAAACAAGCAATTCTGCCAGCAGGCGAGAAGACAGATTTTTCGGTGCACAAAAGTGAAAGTTTACCTTTGGTCCCACTCGGCAAAATGACACTGAAAGCATAGAAACCGCTTTCAGTGTTTTCGACTTAATTTGTTGTTTGAATAAACCGCTTTCAGTGTTCGACTTGATTTGTTGTGGAAGCTATGTTGAGTCAATCTATGTAATAATTAAATAACTTAAATGATAATTCCAGAATGCATTAAACATGATTTAATTCGCAATAATAAAAGAAGACGTTACTTTGTTGTTGCGAAGCTTAGTTTCTCTAGATTGACAACAAATCCACTATTCTGCTACGTTTCAAATGTAAACAAACATGGCTGCTATGGCAAAGAATTAGGCTTAGCCACGCTTAAACAACTTTGAAATTGTTGATAATTCTACAACTATAATATGCAGGTTAACTAAAGGCATAAAAATCTTAACCGGAACATAAGAACAACCTAATGCAATCATTTTTAAAGCAAAAAAATACACAATTTACAAACATATAAGAATAAAGAAACTGAGCTCACTGAGCCGAGTAACAGAGTAGATTATTTTTACGAAATATCCAGCTGCGGTAGGCTACCTTTCCCGCAAAACAGGTTTAGGGTTGCCAGAAAATGGCGAGGAAACGCACGACAAAATTGGCGATATGCCTTAGATTAGGATTTCTTAAACTTTTTTCAGTCTCGACCACTTTTTATCACTGAGATTTTTTCGCAACCCCCAGGACCCCATAATATTTACGAAAATTTTGTGGGACCCCATAAGTATTGCGCAAATCCGACACATGCGTGAGTGAAACTGTCAATTTTTGCATTTGTACTGTAATATACTGTTCTATTGCAGTTTGAAGTTATTAACTTTAATTTCTAATTTTAAGACATAGAACAACGTGAACATTTTAAATAAGTAGCAGACGAAATGACAGCGTCACGTGCAAAGCAAGGAAAATGAACGTTTATATTATAAAACGAATGCGTTGAAACGTTTTCCTTTTCTTTGTCTGTATTGTCTTTTCTTTATATATTTTAAGATACATTGTGCATCTGAAAATATATATTGATATCTCAGATCAGATAATGATTGATATCTGTTAGCTGCTAAATTACTTTAATAAGTTAAAGAAATATAAAAACTGCTAAAATTTTTGGCGAACCCGTGCTGCAGGTCCCACGACCCCCTTGGGGTTGAACCCCAAGGTCCTTAGACGAAGGGAGAACCTTGTGGAACGAGAACGCACGAACCGAGTCGGGAGCTGTACTCTAGTGTATCGACGAGCTCACCGCGAGTTGTAGCGTGGAGAGTCTCAAGAGTATGTAGAGTTCCGAGAACCATCGAGCAGAGTCGGGAGCTGTACTCTACTGCTTTGCCGTGAAGCTGTTTTCCCAGTTATAGCCTAAAGGCTTTGTCGATGATTGTTTCAGTAGTTCTTGGACGACTTTAACCGTGGTTTTAGAGCTGTCCTGAGTAATACTGGTTAATAAATTGTGTTTCGATACTTCATCAAGTGTCGTCATTATTCACTCCAAATCTCTGAACCCGTACGTATGAAGAAACGCAACAATATATACATACATGTGTATACTTTTGGTGCAACCAAATTGGAACACCTCGAAGGAGACCACTTTGAAGTTTTACTGTATTCAGGTCGCTGATTTGATAACCTAACAAAATAATAGAAAGTATTGCCACATAAGAGAAGTATTTTTCGTATAAGACTCGTACTTAAGCAATTCAGCGAAAGAAATGTATAGCTATGTCTTAAAATAACTAAATTACTTCTTCATTGATCAAGTGCACAAGTATCTATACAGCGTTAACTTACGACGAAGCAATTGCTTTTCTGGTTGTTTAGCTTTGCGAATTTCAATAGCTCATTTTAAATGCACATTTTTTATATTCTATTTTTTTAATTCCAGAAGGACTTATTTTTAAGCTAAGTAGGCCGATCGTAATTGCTTGCTGCTTGGCAACTCCCGACTCGACGAAAAAGGTATCTGTCCTAAACTGTAGTCACCCTGGGATGGTCCATACAGTCTTATGGCAGCAAAGCGTGGTTCGGATCCGCAAGTCATCGACTCTAAGCTTAAATTCGTTCATTACGACAGGTTAGCTCCTTACTATGGCTATAGTACGTAGTGTATATAATGTAAATAGTACAAGACCATGGTCCTTTTTGTTGCTAAATTTGTATTTGATTTGATTTGTATTTAGTATTTGATAGTATCTGATTTGTTTTAAGTTAATTATTGCAATTATTCCTTATGTTACTTGTTATTGTAATGTAATGCTTGTTGTATTGATGTATTGATGATTGTATTGAAGCATTGATGCCTTAGTTGTAAGTTTGGCTTTCTGTCCGGGGACTGTACTTCCCGGCGACGTGCAGTCCTTGGGAAGGGGGCAGTGTTATGGATTTTGAATTTAGTTAGCTATTTTTGGTAGAATTGTAATTAAAATTGTTTTATTTCCCCGTGTAATGCAGTGCGTGACGAATTTTAAGAGAAAGCTAATACGAAAAGTAAAAATACAAGAGCATGTGCATTTATTAAATAGATTTCTCGTAATTTATATTTAAATTGAAATAATGCAATTGTGTGTTAGTTGTAACTGTAATTCCACTCTTTTGCTCTCCAGAAACCTCGAGAAATTACGAGAAGTTTCTCGTGGTTTTATAAGCTTTTTAATCAATCACGAGAAGTTTCTCGTGATTGATTAAAAAGCTTATAAAAGCCGGAGAAAAACATCTCTTCAGTTGTTTACTAAGTTTTTGTTGTTGATTTTAACGAATTCGTGGTGAGATCGGATTAGCTTTCTCTGTACTTTTGGATTGCGTTCTATTTAAAGTTCTAGTACTTTAAAATATAACTACTGTGCGATATTGTGATATTGTCCGAATATCTGTGAGGAAACATTTCAGCGTTTTGTTTTATTTCTTGCGATAAGAATAAATTTTATTAACTTTTCATCAGACTTGTGCATTTAATCTATTACGAACCCGTACCCAGGCAACAATATTGTCCTGTGACTCATACGGAAATACACTCCGATAAGTTAATTGCACCTCTTACAGCTTGCGGTTGGCTACTGCGTGGTTGGATGAGTATTCCTATTGTTTCTCTGTCATGAACTGGCTACCTATAAGCCCCGACTTAGTACTTCTGAGAACATTTCGGATGCTTTGGAGAAAGGTGTGAAACCACATCACATTAACGGCACTTACTGAATTATGGACAACTCTATCCGATGTTTGGCAAGCCATTCTGGTAAAATGCTTCCGCAAACTTATTGAATCTATGCCTCGTTTTGTGGCAGCCATTATCAAATCCAGAGGAGGACTCCTATTAGAGTCATTATTGACTTGCTGTCCCTAATTCAGTGGAACTTCAGTGTATTTAGAATTTAGATTGTAATTTGAATTTTCCTCTTTTTTATAAATCTGAAAGCTTAGCAAATTTTATTTGATCTCAGGTTCATGAATTTATTTTCTGCGCTCTGAGCAAGAGTGGTTTAATGTGTTGTTTAATTGAAGTAATTGAATCATTTGATTTCATTTAACCTTTAATGCATCATCAAAACTAGCAATGACAGGAAAACGATTTGAAGTTTCTAAACAATTTGTACATTCCGAGTTCATGATTATCAGTGTAGAGAGTTTCAGAAATAAAAATAAAAATCAGTTTCAATAAATAATTTTATTCCTTATTACGCAAATCGGGGCATCAGTAACTAAGAAATGGCTAGAATTACCTTTTCAATAATTAAAGAGGATCTTCAAACGGACCTGTATTAGCGAGTACCAAAATAAGAAACTGCGCAAGTATTGGGTTTCCGAGATTGTGAGCATTAGCAACACTCTTTGGCTGGTAATTAAGTCTATCAACATTTGCAAGGAGTTTATTACCGGGCTGAATGAACTCCTTCTGGCAATAAATGAAGAATGTGTACCTGTTTTTGACTGAAAAAGAAAGCAGAACAAATGATACACATTTTATAAAATGCAAGCAGAAAAGTCACAATAAAATTCATAATTAATTTGCTTCAGTTGAAAATAATTTAAACCGCACAGCTAATTCGCTTTATCTAAAATGCTTGCTTTCTCGTTTTTGCTTTTATCTTACATAAATATCCAATGGGTTAAAAAGATGCACTTTTCATGACACTATCTAGTATTTTTATTTTAAATATAATAGTAAAGGACTGATAACGATCCAGTTACAATATGGATTCCATCTGCGTAACTACACAAAAGTCCTCACGAGCAGCTTTTGTTTCCACACTCATTTTTGCAGGCGTACACTTTTAATTTTAAACTTGCTTTAAAGAAAAATATTCATATTATGGCATTTTCATATTAAAAAGTGAATTCTGTAAAAAATATGAAATTTTTGAGCTCATTGTTTATTCGGCAGAGGGCCCTAAAAGTTATATGCGTAGAAAAAGTTTATACTTATTCTAAAAAATTAAGCAAAGACAGTTTCATTCCTGTATGACAACAACTGGTCGAGATATTTAAATTTTAAAATTTATGATCATCTTAAGCTGTCGTACATTAACTGAGCAACGAAATGTTTGCATATAGTTAAAAATGAAATATCAGTTTACAAAAAGCTTTTTATTGTTAATAGAATAAATGATGATCATTACGCACACTATGATGAAAAGTATTTATGAATATAGTTTTTATTGCAAAAAACTAATTTTACATGCAGAATTTACAGAATTCGGATTCTAGAAATCAGTGGTAAGCACTGATATATATATATACTATATATATATATATCAGTGCGAATTTAAGATCATACAACATTATATATATATATAATATCTGATATATATATATATATATATATATCCGACTCGCAACATTATTTGCATAAATTTAAAATGAAAATTATTTCTAGTTTAACGAAATTTTTGTGTAATTGTTAGATTTATGAGTCTAAGCTAATAAAACTGCATGAGAATATTCATAACGAATTTTTATTATTTGAAAACTGATAAATTTCTTCTGATAAAATTCTTTCGACATGGAAAGTCTGACACAAATTAAACAATAAAAAGCTTTTTGTTTTACCCGACCTCTAAAGGAAACAAACAAGATGGCAAAAATCCCAAACTTAAATATCTTCACCAGTTTTGTAGTGCAGGAATCAAATATTTTGTTTATTTTATAAAATTAGTAAACACTTTTATTAAATTGTTCTAATTTTTTTAGATGATGACCCAAGGAAATCTAGAAACCATGTAAAAAATTTCCAAATTTGGAATTTAAATATCGTGATTAGTTTTTAGATGTAGAGATGTGGAACTTTTTATGCTCTTTTTATAATGAGTTTAAAATTTTATTTAATATAAGTAAAGGAACCATGCAATCATATAAAAAGGTTAGATTTTGTACTGTTTTAAAAAGTGTTTTTTTTTTAATCTAAAAATGCAAAAACACTAATATTTGCACCATTTAGAATGTTTTTATAGGTACAGAAGTCTACGTCTACAAGCAATAGTGGCCAAAATAAAGGCGGCTTACGGTATTTGGTATAAAAGAGGAGTCAGAGTGCATTAAAAACATTGATAAAATGAAATTATTTTTGCACAATATGTTTTAAATTTAATTACTTCTAAAATCGTTGTTATCGTCCTAAATCTAGGTCAATCTAAAGAGATATGTTCAAATTCCTGTTCTCATTTTGCTTAAATTCTGTTCGCCTAACGTTCTCAAAGTTGATTTCTAAATACCAGCGAGTTGTCATTCTGACTAAAATCAGACTTAGACAAGACTAAAAGACTTACTGATTGAAACTACTAAATTTCTACTTGACTGCAACTCTTGAGGTTTACAGTTAAAAAGAAAATATATGATTAAAAAGTCGATCTCTTTTCGATATTAAACTGTTAACAAATCAATCGACCTATCTTTTACCTCATTTCTTTAAAAACCTCGAATGGTTTACACCCTTATCTTGTAGAGACATTAGGTATTTACATTATAAAGTAAAATCATGTTACATTATAATGTTCTTCATGTGACATTATAATGTTAAATTTCTTTCGTATAGGAAAAAAATATAATAATTTTACACATATTTCATAAATATATTTTAATTACCCATCTACGTACAAAATTCGTGAAAATATTTTATGTAACGGGAATCAAAGGGAGGCTAGGGACTAAACTGTTTGTAAAACATAAATGTCACTATACATTGGCATCGGCATGAACTTCAAAGTTAGTGAAGATCTGCAAGTTAAGCATGACTGAAAAAACGTTTTTCAAATGCATGTAAGTATGTTTTTGTGTAAAGAAAGAATATGTGAGTATGTTTTTGTGGAAGAAATTCTACGTAAGAGAAAGGCGAAATAATCTCTGTTCATTTTGCATAAGGAAAAAAGGGAAATAATGTATGTTAAGGCTGTTCATCTAAATAATAATAAATGGTTGATTTATTCTTTAAAATTCAAATGACTTTTGGAAAAGAACGATAAACTACGAGATAAAACTACGAGAGTTATCTCACTGCAGTTAACTACGAGATAAAACAAGACAGATGGACTGGAGGAAGATTTCAATAATTATTAATACGTTACAATAAAAATATTTTATAGTTTTACTTTAAAATTTGAGGGAGATCACTTTACACTTTTTATTGTATTTAGTTCTTATAAGATTTGATAACCTAACAAAATAACAGAAAGTATTGCCGCTTGAGAGAAATATTTGTAGTAAGCCTCGTCTTAAGCAATTCAGTGAAATAAATGCAAAGAGAGGGAGAGATATTTAAATTCATTTTATGTGAGCTAAAGGAGAGTATTTCAGAAATACTTGAAATACTTCGTTTTAGCATGCATATGCACATTTAAATCTTTATTAGTTCCTTTATCTCAATGCAGTTTTATGTGTTTTTTTAAATTAAATTATGCATATTTTGCACTCCTTTTATCTTTATGAACTATCTTTTATAGTGCTTTATTGTATAGCTTTCAATTTGAACTTTCCAGCGATTAATAAAAAAAGTCTTCGAATCGGAACTTCTTTAATAACATTCTTTAACGATATTTTGATCTAATCTAAAATTTATTCCTATGAATTGACTTGGAGTGCGCATCTTTTTTCTTCAATTTATCATTCCCTTCAGTTTTTAATTTTAATTATCTCTCTCAGTTTCTCTACTACTTTTTTTAGATTGTATACGTTATATAATCAATCTAGCTACATTCAAAACGAATTTTACAACTCTTTACAAAGCGCATGTTCGAAAGCATTGACTACAGTAATTTAATAAATATTTATAGAAAATTAATAATATATGTAAAATATTTAATTACTCGGAATACATTCATTTTCATCACACATTACATAGTTTTAAATAATTAGAAATACGCCCATGACCGAAGTCGTGAAAATGATTCCAAAGAAACTTTAGAGAACTAGGAAGATTAAATTGCGATTTTTTTAAAGACAGAAAAGAAAGCCATTAAAATCGGCAAAATTAAACTCAGCACTTACTGTTAGGTGCGAGAGGAGGCAAATATTTAATTTCCGTATCTCCTTCTATTCCTCTGTAACCGTTCGCTAAAGCAGATGCTGGGATGTTATATACTAACCAATGGGCAAATGGAACGCCTAAGACAGGAAATGGGCCTGTAATATAAAAACAGAAACAGATGAATTTTTAAAAATATTATGCTATATGGCTATGTCAAGCTTTTCAGATTATATAATGTTATTTCCGTTTTCAGATTATATAATGTTATTTCCGTTTTTAGAACATATTATGGAGGTGTATAAAGAGCCGAATTTCATAGTTTCTCTTTAAACTGAATTTTAACAAATTAAATTAACACAGCGTTTCAAAGTTTAGATTCGTTGTAGCGTTAAGTGTTAATGTTAATGCAATTAATCATTAATATTCTCGCAACGAAAGGAAACTAAATAAGTAGACATTGCCCAACATCATTGAAAAAAAAGTAAGTGATCATCATTAAGTATTATTATTATTAATCGTGATTAAATACAAATCAATTAATCAAATTTTATTTGCCTGCACAGTAAACACTAAGAATAAAAAGGTACAAAAATTTTAAAATATCAAGTAAATCTAATTTTAAGTGCGCTGGATATGTAAGGATTCTTTTAATCTAGCATGTTTACCAAGCGCTCATTACCTACACAAAATTGAAACTAATGTAAAAAACTTGTGTATGTAGAAAAAGATAAAAAGCATTAGTATTTGCATTAAAATTTAATAACTAAGTCTGTTCAGTTCTAAAACAGGACTGTTATTAGAGCAGTGTTCTAAAATGTTAACAGCAAAAAAAAAAAAAAAAAAAAATTTCTTGACGTTACTAACATCATTAGTAATATGTTTCCAAAACATTTTTAACTGTTACGTTATGTTAAGGTACCATAAAATATCTTTCCCTTACCCTGACAAGTAGTACCGTTGCATAAAACATTAAGTTTGTCTTCTATGCTGTCTTGTACGTATTCAATTCTCAGAATTTTGCCATTCGGCAAAACAAAATTTTTTTACCTTTTTAATTTAATATCGAATTCTTTAACAAATCAAGCAGTCTACAAGGAACAAACGCGACTTTTAATAAATCATTATTTTATACATCTACATCTACAGTACATCTAATTCCTATAAATTAAAATACCTGGGAAGCTAAAATAATATATATGCAACCTTATTTGGTACTATTCGGTTTCGAGGGCCGTAAAAAATCTCCAAACTATTGTTGATGCCAATGCTGCCAAAATTAATTGCGGCAAGAAAAGAAGTATAATAGTAAATAACAATTTAAGATTGATGTTTTAATTTAGATGAAAGGTAATTCCGTATATACTTTTTATTATTATAATTTATATGAAAAGCTAAACATACTGAATGGAAGCGAAAGAGTAAATAACTATTCAGATCATTTTTATAATTTATATAAAAATTGCTAAACATAACTCACGGATGCCTGCATCGCTATTTCGCTACCCACGTATCGCTAAAGCATAATTTCATCTCGTTGGTTGTTCAAAAGTATTTTTGTAATGAAGATGACTTTCTTGAAAATATTTTCTGTAAAGTGCAGAATCGCCATTTGTTTGCCGCCGCTTTTACAGGGTAAAACAATTGGATTTTGTCAATTTTCTTTTACTTTTTAGTGAAATAGGTCGATGTGCACATGGATACCGAGTATGTGCAATTTTTAAAAACGCGTCAAGCAGTGGGTGATTCTGCACTTTACCCAAAATTCTATTGCCGACTTTTCGTCATGGGCAATTCCCAAATGGCGTCTTAAGAAATATAGAACTATATAAACTTACGCAATCTGAAATCAGCTCGTGTGCTAGATTTGACGCGCTGTTAAATGGGCGCGTTTGCTAGATTTGGCGCTTTCGCGCATACATTTTCGCTGCAATTTTTTTACGGCCCTCAAAACGGAATAGTACCCATTATTTTAACTAGGAAAACGTGATTTTAACTCCATTACCAGTACAAAGCTTTTTTATTGTTGTTTTAAGCGATAAAAAGGAGAAAATTTAAAATGGAAACTGATTGACTGAAAAACAGATATTTAATTAAAAATTACAAATAATGAGTATCGAAATTCGAAAGCCGTTTAAAACGGATTTCGGGCAGCTAAACTGATTATCTTTCATGCTTATCTTTACCTACCAAAGATTGCTGTTTTGATTTTTGCGCATCGTTGACTTTTTGCTAAACATTTACATTTTGCTTTATAAGCTTGTTTTGAGGAAATGTTAAAGCTTAATTAGCGTACGCTTCATAAATTTGTATTTACAGTCCATTTCCAAGCAACAAAACTGCAGTAACTCGTTTTATTGCATAGATAGAAAAATAAAGATTATGCTTATACGGAAAGCTAAGGAAAAGAAAAGAACATATTTAATTTCCTTTTTCTTTTTTACATGTGCGCTGTCCTTTCAATGACATATTTAACTAATTTAAATTAAAATAATATCTTGCGTTACTGTAATTACTGAAAGATGAATTGAAATTACTTATTATATACAATATTAATTATTCTTATAAATTAATTAGAATTAAGTAATTAAAAGCGATTTTAGGAAACTCATTTTTGATTTTTTTGTTGCCTTTTTTAGCCTCCTTGCTTTCATGTAAATTATTTTTGTTTCATTTGTACTTTACTACCTTCCGATAGAGAATTTTGCTCATTCTTTATAACATTTTTGTTCGCTTTCCTTCAGAGACAATTAATTGTCAATTACTATAACTTTAATTAATTTTTATTCTTATTATTAACAAGGGATTATTTTATTAAAAACAGTGGATTTACTTACTTACTTATTAAAAAAATTTAATTAACTTATTAAAACTTACTATTATCAAACATATTAAAAACGAGGATTATTTTAATGACAAAGATATACCTTCCCTAATAAGTCAGATATCCTTCGAGTGTTTTGTCGTAATCTAAGTAATCCAGTCCAGTACCATGTTTACCAATACTTTTCTGAACTTGGAAAAGAATAACTTTATTTAAATTAGTTCCCAACCACTTATTAATCTATCAGATCAGACGGAGAAAGCTAGGCAAAATAGGTGAGATATACAGGACATTTTAGAAAGATTGCGCCAACTAAATATCTTTTCAAAAATCACCCGTATTCGACCCATTACTCCAACTTAAAAAAGAAACCAAATAACGGAGACTTACAGGCTAGGGGATTTTTAGTCATTTAACTCCTTTCAGTAAACATATACAGAATTTAAATTTTTATATAGGCCTTTTTGAGGGTCAAAATGTTTCAATTATTTCATAAATGAATTGGTCAGAGGGAAAAAATACCATCTAATACGAAAAAAATTACCGAAATATCATTAATTAATAATTTGGGAGCGTATACAGGTATTGCTAAAAATAACAGCTCTAGTAAGCTTTTAAATAAATTTCTGAAAGATAACTTTTATATCATATGAATCTGAATACGTTAAGCACGGGTATGAATTTCCATATTATAAATACATTACACTGCCATTAATGATTTCACGCTTCCTGGAAGGAAGTTCGTTTTAAAGCGCTTGGTAGAAATATTCGATTTCATACCTTCTCTCCCTGAGCCTCAGACGATAAAATTTTTGCGTGAAGTATCTAATGATACATTTTTTTCTCCAACGTGGTGGTCACGTGGCGCAAGCGGTGTACAACTTCAGATTAGATTTGCTTAGGTATAAATGTATACTGGAGTTCTAGTTATCAAAATGGCTACACAACGAGATCTGAGTTAGATTGGAGCCAATTACAGAATTTGCGTCTTTCTAAAATACTTTTAATTGTAAAAGGTGGGTCTAACTAATTTAAATTTTCTTTGTATGGCCCAAATGTAAGCATTGCAAATGATTAAGATCATCATAGGCTGAAAACCATATTTGCTTCATTTTTAATCAATAACTATTTTTCTACAATTACGTATTCGACAAATGGTGTAATATTTCTGAAATAATCTGCATACGCCTTTGAATGTATTTTAATGGTGTAATATTTTTAAACAACCTTCAAATGCATGCATTAAAACACTATCTGAAGTCCTTGAGAATTTCATTTTCACTAACTTAATATGAAACAGCATGTTTTACAAATTAAAAAATTGCGAGAAAGATTTACCGAAACCAAACAAGGTTACAGTGACGTTTTCACATTTTCCAGTCACATCGTGCTTAATTGTTGGTAGCAATGCAGTATTTACAATAGAAATTTTGTTCCCACATTTCAGTGTTTCATCTGGAGGATAAGTTATCTAAAAAAAGGTAAAAATATTTTTTAGTATTTCATTTTAAATGCGCTTCTGGAAACGACACTTCTGAATTAAAAAAAATAATAATAAATAAATCAGTGGCGTCTTAGCAGTTCATGAAATTTCTGATGTTTTACAATCTGTAAAAAATTGTAATCTGTCCAGTATCCGACTGAAACATAGTAGATATCAAATTAAAAAAGCCGAATACCATGCCAGATATCAGAATAACCAATTAATCTGAGAAGCACATAGAAAATAAGATACCTTTTATAAATTTTTAACTTGTTAATGCTATTTGGTATTAGTGAATCTTTTATTTTTATAATTTTGAAAGGGCATATATTTAAGCTCGTTGTATATAAATATTTAGGAAACCTTTATTTATTTATTTAAAATTCAGTAATTATTTTTATTTTAAATTTTTGTGTTTTGAAACTTATTTTTTATTTTTTCATAATTAATACATTTCACTGCTTTTACTTCCTTTTCGGTATTTATCTCGTTACGCTTCCACGTCTTCAAATTCCCTACGAAGAAGTGACTTCAGCAGATTGGTAGATAAATTATATCTTATTTTGTCAGATAATCCTGCCCTTTACGTCAACGGTTACCACATATCGGTCGCAAGAAAATTTTTATTCAGCAGAGAGAGTTTTTACATTGACTATTACTAATGACATTTAACGTCACGAAATTGATAAAATTTTCTAATATAAATTCTGACTTTCTGAAATGCATTTAAGTCTTCTAAGTGAATAAAAATAGGTGTGTTATAAAGTTTTTGTATCAACTGTTAAATTTTTTTAGATTTATAGAATTTTCGATAGGAGAATCATAATAACGTAAGGAGTTATTTTTTTAGAGAATAATACCTCCTCAGTAGGGTCCTAAAAGAAAGCATTTGTAAACCAATAGAGTTTCCAGCTTACTCTGCTAAAACTAAAACCTTTTATGACACCTCTCTTTCCATGCTTCAACTTTCATTAGCCTACTTCTAAGTCATATACGGTTAGTCATAGTTAAGACTATGAGTTATTTTCTCTCTCTTTTCTTCAGGCTTTTGTGGTGTAACGATAGCACACTCGGCCCGTATTCGAGAGGTCCAGGTTCGAGTGCTGACGAGGCACAGCTTATTTGTCGTTTTTTCTACTTCAAAGATCCTAATGACTCTGCAAGACTATCAGAATAAATATAAAAACGTTTCTTTTAATTACTTTATGTTATGAAAGCATTTTAAACATAGTTGGCGAAAAACTTGTGGAAAAACATATTTAATTTACTTCTACTCTTGTAATATGCTATCATTTGTGATAAGTACCTCTTAATTTCAATACTATCAACAAAAACAAGATTTTGATTGGAAAAAAATAATGAAAATGAAATAAAATATCAAAATATTTTAACGATCGACTTCGATTAAAAATGAGAGATTTTTTCCTAACTTATTACGTGCTTCGCCCTTAGCCACTACACGGAGAGGGAGAGTTTCCACGTAGAGCTCTTTCTTAATGGAAACTGGTTCATATCCACGTTTTATATGGGGAAAACCACGAAAACGCCCATGATATTAATAATATATTTTCGCCCCCCTTTCCGCACGCCTTCATGGTGTAATTGGAAGCATACTCGACGCGTATTCCAGAGGTCCAGGGTTCGAGTCTCGACGAGAGCACTGCTCATTTTTCATGTCTCCTCGTTCAAAATATCCTAATAACTCTACAGTGGCGCCCGAACTAAAAGGTTGTTAACGATAATTCGTCATCACCAGGATTTAGTGATCGATGATTCCCCTGATCCCCAGTCGCCCTCTAAGGGGGTATATAAGGTATTTTCTTCCTCTTTTCCGCATTCCTTCGTGGTATAATTGGATGCATACTTCACGTGCATTCGAGAGGACCAGAGTTCGAGTTCCGGAGAAGGCGTTGCTCATTTTTCATATCGTTTGCTTCAAAATAACCCAGTGACTCTACATATTAATTTGTATAAATTTATTGCTTCAAGATTATTAGTAATTCGAAAAAGTTTATAATTCTAGAAAACGCCGACTCTAAGCTGTATTATGCGTCACTTACATTAAAAAAAACATACGTCTTAGAATTGAAAAAATATAATATTTTGAAACTGGGCTGAACATGTGAGAATTAACACTATTTAATATGGTTCAGGAAGAAGTATAACCTAAAAATCTCATTTCATCATCTCTGAAATCAATCATCCCTAAAATTTCTAAAATGTTATGTTCCAGAATGTAGTAAAAAAAGTAAAGTACGGTATAATATATAAACGCAATTTTCTAAAGCTACGTAATTTAATTAACTCCTAGGCCTGTGATAGTAATCGATGCAAACTCTTTTATAAACACAAAGTTAAAATAGAGAGTATCTTACCAGACAATTAATTTTCCTTCCCATATAAAAAAGACGGTATTCATTTGCATTTTTTATATGCCTTATTTATTTTTTATATAATGAAACGAATTTTAATATAACAGCTTCTGGTAAAACAGTTTTTTACACTAGCTCCCTAGGAAAAAAAGTAAAAGTGTAAAATGTTTATTTGAAAGCTAATAATAATCTAATGCGAAGAAAAACACGTCAAGGTAAAATTTTAAAATTAGACAAAAAGCAACCTGATGTAGATTTTGAACAAAGCCCTCTCGATTTTGAAAGCAATTAGACACAGGTGCGTCTTCTTCAGGAGAAATATATTTTTAATTGTTGATTTAGTTTAAAAAATTGTCTGTCTTAATACATTAAAAATTACAGCAGATATCGTTTTGTAAATGTCAAGGATCGTGCTCAAATATCAACTAAAATATACATATTAAGGCCGATATAAGTTTTCAAGCATAATTTCCAAAGCTAGCAGGCCCACCAGCGGCCGAGCGGTAGAGTCGCTGAACACGGGTAGTTCGTTAACGAGAGGGATCCCGCGAAAGAGCTGGCTGCACGGGTGTTTTCATGGTTTTCCCCATGCGTAAAGTGTGCACGAGCCAATTTCCCTTAGAAAACTCCTCCACAAAGGAATCTCTCCCCTTAGGCAAATAGCCCTCAAGGCTTTCCAGTAATCACATAAACTAAAACATAACAAAACGCAAAATTCCAATTTTAACATTTTTAGGTATGGCAACCTGTTTGCGAAAATGCTAAAATTTCAAAATTTTTCTTGCCTCATAATCGAAGAATTGAAACTGGATTTTTTTTTTTGGGGGGGGAAGATGAAAATGGCTAAAGTCATATAGATTTGAAACACTTTCCAGGGCTCGTTTTGCATATTACAAAACCAGGTTGTTATGAAAAATCAAGTAATAATATAAGGAAAGACTCACTATTTAAAACTCTGTGGACGAGCAGTAAAAATGTTAAGTTTATATATATATATATACTAAAAATTGTCAAAAAACAGAATTCCAAAAATCTGAAAGCATACTTATTTTGATTATTGTTTTAGAATGAAAATATAAGTGTATGAACAGCCCATTTTATTTAAAAGATATTTAGACGAAAAATCTTTTTAAGATTGCATAACGCCAGAAAAGTTAATGCAGCAAAAGACACTATAACCAAAAAACAGGAGACGTTTTTCATTGCTACGACAGGGGGGCTTCTTACTATTGATACTCTAATATCATGCAAGAATTTAAAACAGTTCTGTAATATACAAAAGGAAAATTAAATCAGAAATAGAATTAGGAAACAAAAAATTTGGTTGTGAAATACATATTTCGTTATGTATATTTTCTCAATAATTAAGTAAATTCATTTTAGTTTCTTCATTCCTCATTAAAATATGTTAAAGCTATCGGTGTTAACATAGAATTTTATTTAAGTATCTATATTTATTGAAGAAGGTAAGGATTATGCTTGATAGATATGAAAAGTACTTATGATACTCTGAGATAAACTCGTATTATTATTAATAATACTAAAATATTGATATTTTCGGAGAAATAAAAAGCTTAATTTTCAACTGATACGGTATGTGCACCAAGAATCGAAGCATAATTCGCCATTTATCTTTTTGTATCCATGAGAGTTATCACTGTTGCGTAGGAACATTAATTATTTACAAAGATTATAATGAATATAAAGTTACTAATTATTCTTAATACAACTAATATTTCATCTGAAATTTGTTAAAAGGAAAAAGTTTAATTCAGTTTACAAGTTCATGGCACTTATGACCATGAGACACTCACTCATGACCGTGAGAGTTATGCAATGCTAAAACAAATTTCATTAAATTCATATTACAGCAATGTGATAGAAATATTATTTATGAGATAAAATATTCCCTTTCACACTCTGAAGGAAAATTGTACTTTTTTTGCAACATTATGAAATTCTATATTTCAAATAATTAATTAAATACCTCTACGTCGGTTGAATCCACATCATCAGCAAACTGAGGAATAATGGAGAACTTCTCCATCTTCTTCTTGCACTTTTGTGATCCACATTCGCATGAAAGAAGAAGAACTAACAGCAGTCCTGCTACGAAAACCAAACAAAGTTCTTTCATATTTAAATTCAATAATAGCTTATATGTGCTCCGAGTATTCACCGTTCAGTAAAGCTTTGCGATCCAAATTCAATACTCGACTTTTCTCCTTTATATAACTTTTTGCCTCGTTATCACAGCTGAATTTTGCTGAAAGAATACATACTATTCCTTATTATCATATGCTTAATATAAAGTTTTGAATGTATAGTTAATACTGGAAAATGGTCTAAAATAAAATTCAAGTTCTTACATTTGTCTAATTCCTACGATTAGTCAGGGACAGAAAAACTTATCTTTGTTTGAACAGGTGTAATACTGAAATTGATTAGGTTGGAAAAAGCATGAGAGTTAACTGCTTTATCTTAATCCTATGCCCAACGTGATCTATGACTTAGCAGCATTGGCCTCTAGTTTCCTGTTGGAAGGATCATAGATATAACGCTAATGAAAATATCTGGTGCATAAAAGGACAAATCAACCTGAACGATGTTCTACTTTTGACTTATTAGCGATTTCTTGATTAGTAAGCGGATTTCATTAATTTAATTTTACTCTTAAGGAAACATCTGAATCCAGAATATATATATGTCTGTTGTCTTCTTATCCATTAACATTTCTCTTGTGGGAAATCCTGAGGACGACTAATTTTACTATATTGCGTTATCTTAAGGTAGCAGGACATTTAAAGCGCACGCTGTCTAGCAATCGACGCCTTCAAAAAATATAGGATTTTTTACATGTCGTTCACGAGATATTTACATCCTGTTAATTAATTATCAACATTGCAACAATATTGCGATCAAACAAATATGTTCCTAACGCCATGTATTATGTACTCTACCTCTCAAATGCTCACTTATCAAGCTATTAACATACTGAAACAAGACCTATGAATGCAATAAGAGCAGAGACTAAGTACTTAGTAGTATAAAAGGATGTTTCTGGATGTCTTCAGCACGTAGCAAGTTAAATTTTAAATCCTCATACCGTCCAATACACTGTCAAAGAGACTTGTCGGATATGGCCTGGGGATATACTGAGATGTGATATTAAAGTTAGAGAATATGTTTGAGACGTTAAGGGAAATTCCGAGAAGTTCTGCAGATGGGCGCTTGGGCCTTGCTAACTCTACTCTCAGGATATCTTGAGGAGAATTTTGTGCTATGTGGATTACAGAACAGATGCTGTTCGCGCATTTTTAGACGACGTTGTTTGCTACCAAAAAAATCGCCTGCTTGGAAAAGTGTAAATTATCGTCTGCTACTTGACAACTTCGTTTTCATGCAAAATGACTCTTTTAAAGAAGTAATTGAAGGAAGGTTTGTGCTCTTAATGATGATAATATTGGCAATAAGAAAGGAAACAAACGTCAAATTTGGGCTTCAAGAAGAAAAATTGTTTCAAAATACATATCTGAGGAAAAATTGGAATGTTTCGAATGTTGCAAAGGTATAGTTCGACCGCCTCATCCTCGACGATGAGCGCAAACACGCATGCGCCATTCGGACCAAATTATTCTCAAAATAGGGTGGAAGGATGGGGACTTTCTTTCCCTCCAGCATAGCTCTTTCCGGAGAAGAGAAGACCTTTCACGTCGCAGCAAGTAATACCGCCCCTTTTGGGTGAGTCTATGTGTTTTGGCAGAATGCAAACCAGGGTTGCGCTTGAGGCGGTCGAACTATAATAACTTTAACGTTAAAAGAATGTCTTCGAAGCCAAAGGACAGTTGCATAATCATTAAAATGCTCAGTGTCAACTAATAAACAAAGTTATTAATGATGATTTGAATTTTAAAAAGGCGAAAAAAACATAACGGGAATAGTCTTTCTCCATCACATACACTGAAAGCACCGAAAGCAGAAAGCGCTGCAGAATTCTCTATAAGAAACAATTATTGGGCCAAGATAGAAAAATGTCGTCACAGGGTATGAAATGAAAAATCCATCAAATGAATTTTGGGTATATTTAAATGACTGCTGTAAAAAAGATCTATTTATTATCATCAAAGATAAGAAGAAAAACTTAGTACATGGTTCAAAGAATCTAAAGAAAGTTTTTCAAAGGGACTTATAATTGTTGCTGTTTTTTCATATAACGACAAAAATAAAAAGAGTAAACATAGTGGAGAAAAATATTAAGATCAACTCCACATGTTATCAGATATTTATTTTCTACCCAGTTTTCAAATATGAAATACATTCTCTTTACCCACAATGCCATCAATCAGTATAACTGCGTCAAGACAAAGCAAAGAGCTATATGTCAAAATCCACTATAAATTTCCTGCAAACAATGGAACAAGAAACTTGTATTAAGGCCATACCCTTCACTTATATCCCTACTAGATCTTCTGAAGTATCATCCACCGATTTTTACACTTTTAGACTTTCAAAAATTGGATTATCCAGACGTCGACCTACAACACTCCTTGGACTTTGGAAAGCTGTTCAAGAGAAATGGGATAAAATATCTCTTTCAATACTAAAAAAGAGCTCCATTGCGGTTTAAGAAGATAGTGACGAATAAGGGTTATCGTATGGAACATTTCAAACATAAAATTCTTAGGTAGAATATTTCTGTAAATACAATGAAAATCGTCTAAAAAATGTGCGAACAGTCTGTGTGGCAAGAGATCTTTAACTTATCTTCCAAGTTAAGATCTCGTGCCTTTCATCATCTTTATTTAAAGTAATAAAAGCCATTTTTAATCTGTAGAACTGCGAATCTTAATCTTTTTAACAATGTATTAGATAATTAGATTTTTAAAGTATTCAATCTATAATATGTCCAGTTCATAATTAAGAACATTACTGTAGTTAATGATAGATTTTTCTAACACCGTATATGTACACCTCAGCGCAGTATTTTTTTAATATAGATTACAACTACCAATCTCGATTTTTTTTCGAACTTTTAGCACCAATACTGTGATTAATATAAGACACCAGAGCGCAAGCCCGCCAAATGAGCGTGCTACAGCCAAAACAAAATTTGTAAATTCTATGTGTCCCTGAAAAGCAAATACATGAAAACATTTCAATATTAAAGAAATTAGTTCATTCTTTTCGAGCAACAATCAATTCGTAAATATTTTTTATTGCTGAATCAAGAAACAAAAACTTTTGACACTTCATATTAATACGTATGACGTCATGATTTAAATTTAATGTATTATAACAACATTTCTCAATATTAAAAAAAGAATTAACGTGGCAATAATATATCGTGTCAATTATTCTAATCTGAAACAAAAAAGTTGCCAAAAGCAGCTATTTATTTAAAATGCTGACATTAAAGAACAATTTTCGACTACAGTGACGTCACATGCAATCGCGTGCTTCCTTCAATGTCAGAATATGACCTTATAAAATAATAATAGGTTTAATGTTGGCAATGCTATTTTTATTTCGTATTTTACAAAACTTACAAATTTTTATTAAAAAACTCTATGATTTGAAGGTGAGCAGTGGCAACTGAAATAAAGCTTTATCTTCAACGAGCGAGACTATTGCCACTCGGAAAAATGAATACGAATATCAGCGTTTTCAGAATTTTTAATTAACATCTAGGCTGATTAGAGTCGTACAAAGATGGGAACAGTCGAAAAGGCTTCCCACGAATTTTTGGAACCTGGAATAATATATTTAATAATTCGCAATGCTATTTTTATTTCATATTTTGTAAAACTTAAGACTTTTTTAACAAACTCTACGATTGAAAGCGAGCAGTGTACCGAAATAAGCAGATTTTTAACTCCAGCGTGCGAGATCAGTCAGCACGTCTTGTTATTAACTACTGTCTAACTATACTAGCGGGAGCATTTTGGCTGAGAGCCAGGATAGGTCAGTTTAATTGAAGGGGTGTGGGTGAGCGAGGGTATTTTTTCCTCTCGGAGGGCATAGAGGTTGTAACAGGTTTAATATCGTTATTAATCTCTCGGAATAATTAATAATATACAGGTTACTGGCAATATTGAAACGCAGGCTCGAGAGCCGCATGCATTTTCTCACAGGAAGCACGTAATTATTTTTTTAAATAAGTTTTATACCTTTTCTTCTCTTGATTGTATGTCGCGATTTTTTTTAGTGTAAAATAAAAGTTATACTTGTATTCCATCACTGGAGTTTACTTAAAATTGTTTAAGAAATATCGCAGGGTGAGTGAAAAGCGCGGGTATTTTTTCCTCTCGGAGGTCGGGGGTCATTTAGTGCTTTTTCTTAACAATCGTTGAGCATCGCTGTGACTGACCTTCTTTTACTTTCAAATCTTCATTTTCACGATGAGTTCTATTGTTCCAAAAAGCTCTAGAAATAAATCTTTCCGCAGCGATTTTAAGAAATTAGTGTATAGCGTGATTAAAGTTTGTGATGAAGAATCACAATTAGGCAGACTGACCATCCCAGTTACGCAGCCAACACGCAGAGCGAGTAAGTTGACTGGCGTTTCTATTGCCAGCATAAACAGAAGTCGTAAACAATCTGAAAGTAAAGTAAATGTTGAATTCTCTTCCCCTAAAAAAAAGAAAAAAGAGGAAACTGTTGTAAGTGCAGGCTTAGATAATTTTGATTTGGATATTTTAAAACGAGCAGTTCAAGACTTTTATGTCTAGGAAAAGAAAGTGCCAACTATAACCAAATTGCTTCCTATATTAAAAGACACAATCAATTTTCCTTGGCAAAGAGAAACGCTAAGAAAGATTCTCCGAGAAATTGGTTTCATCCGGAAAAAGTCCCGGAATAAAAGAAGCGTTTTACTAGAAAGACCTGAAACTGTTTTGTCAAGAAAAATGTATTTGAAGAATCTTAAAATATACAGAGAAGAATCCCGTCCCCTAATTTACATAGATGAAACATGGGTGGACAGCAATTTATCGTTTGGAAAATGCTGGCAATCAAATAAACTCGGTGGGATTTTAGAAACAGGGAATGCCTCTCGACGTATCATAAATTTATGTGCTGGTGGTGAGATGGGTTTCATTTCCAATACCCGTTTAATTCATAAAGCGAACTCTACAACTGGCGATTATCACTGACAATTCAATTCTCCAATATTTGAAAAATGGGCAAACGATAAGTTAATTTCAAACCTGCCGCCAAATTCCGTTATAATTATTGATAATTCGCCTTATCATTCGTGCAGCTAAATAAAACCCCCCCAATGCCTCCCAAAAAAAAACAATATTTTTTTTTATCCGAATTTGCGAAAAGTGGAGCTGCTGGATTTAGTGAAACAAAATGCTCCCAAAGTCAAAACTTTCAAATTTGATTGTATAATGGAATAACAAAGCCATACAGTTCTGCGACTCCCACCATATCACTGTGATATAAACACCATAGAATATGTATGGGCTGAAGTAAAAAATCATGTTCGAAGTCAGAACACGACTGCAGATATAGATATAAGCATGTCGAATTTATTACGTTTCACAAACGAGGCTATTGAAGGTGTTTCGGTGAACAATTGGAAGAAGTACTGTGATCATGTAAAGAATTTAGAAACTGAATATTGGAGAAAAGATGGTATTATAGAGGAATTGTATGAACCATTGAATTTTACTGTCAGCGACAATTCAGTTTCTGAATTCTCTACTAGTTCCGAGGACCCATAATGCTGTGTCACTAAAATAAATGTAAAGGGGGAAAGGTATGACATGTCTAATTAAAACTAAAATCGCTTTTATGCACCTCTTCTAATTAAATTGCTTTATTTTATTTATAGATCATTTGATTACATTAATAAATGCATATTATTAAAGAATATTTAACAGATAAAGGTTTTTCATTCAATGTTTGAAAATATTCAAAATTAACTAAGATGCTATCTAAATTATTATTAATTAATTTTTATCTATTAAATTATTATTAAATTAATATTATCTATTAAAATATTTATCAACTGATGATGAAATGTATTAAGACAAATAGTTTACTATTACAGTTCTTTTAATGGTTTTTCTTTGAAATATCACAATCTGATGTTTCTATGCATTTTAAATTAATTCTATAGTTTTAAAATTTCACGGTGTATCAGGTTAAAATGTATAAAGTGCAGACAAAAATTTTCTGTTGCGCAGCACTCGAAAGATAGAGCGTGAAATGGGAGAATAATTTAAATCTAATCGAGCTACTACACTCACCCCTACATCACTGATAGATATGCCCACTTCCGCCCCAAACCGGATGTTTACATAAATCTGGAATACGTGGTCGGACAGTAAACTCTTTAATGCCTGCCTCCGTTTAAATTATTTCCCACATTAATAGAAGCATGCTATACTCATAAACTTCCTTAAACTAGGTAAAAATCCAAAATATACCACCAGTTACCGCCTAATAAACCTGCTTCTCTGCATTCTCATCATTGGTAAAATTTTTGAAAAAATTATTCAAATTCGACTAATTAATCACCTTGAATAGAATAGTATCATTGACTCCGAACAATATGAATTTCGCCGAGGACATAGTATCACACACCAGCTCATTAATGTGACTGAGTTTATTGCTGATGCTTTTATTAACCCATTAACTGCCAGATTTTTTTTAAATATTTTTTTAATATATAGTTACGTATTTACATGTAAACCAATGTAGTACATTAAATTTTACAATACAGAAAAAAAAATATGTTTTTTATGGATTTAAAAATCAATCCCCATTTGAGGATCACGGTACATTGCATGTAAATAACTGTAAATTTTTTTAAGAGTGCCATGAAATAACACATTGTACGTGTAATCCTACATCACACTTCACGCACTGTTCCCGAAAATTTTTTTTACAAACCGCACATTTTCTTTGTTTTCCGTCCAATGTTCTTTCTAAATAATGTCCTTGAGGATTTTTTCTTACGTCTTCTGGTACGCGCTTCTGTGAACTCACACTGTACGATGGTCGTCCATAATTTTTCGGGTCAGACACGGAATGTAAATTCAAATAGAACCGTGCAACTTCTCGTCTGAAATTTAATAGCGGAATTTTTCCATTAGCAATACAATATATTGTATGAGCATTAACTAGAGCCACATCCACTGCATTAGTGAAAATAGGAAAGTACCATTTTTTGCCTCTAATTTTTATCCTATACTTTTGTACATTCCAGTCAAGCTTGTCAACACCTCCCATGTTCTTATTGTAATTTATAATGGCATGGTGGGTTGTGGAATTAATTTTTTTTTTCTCAGCCCTAGACCATCTCGGCACACGTCCCAAAGGTAAAACTTCCAAATGATTTGATAACATTTTAACAATGCTGTTATCTTTCCAAACAAGACCAACTATTCCATTTATTTCATCATATCTATAATCAAAAGCCCCTCTAAATTCTTTCTTCATTTCCTTATCTGTTTTTATAGGGCACTTATTCATCCTATTACATCTCACCGTTCCTGTCGCAGGTATATTTCTCTCTTTTAGATTTTTCAGCAAATCAAAACTTGTGAAAAAATTATCGAAATAAAAGCAGTGTTCCTCTGGTTTGTCTATGGTTGCTATCTTATTCAATATTACTGACACACCTAATCCATAAGTATCTCCTTCTAAATTATCTTCTTCTGAAATTCTACTTGGCTTACCTTCATAGATGTCAGCATTATAGCAATATCCGGTCACACCACAACACATTGCCCATTGCTTGAACCCAAAGCGAATGGGCTTTCCTCTAATAAACTGCTTTAGAAAATGATGACCATAATAACGTACCATTTGTTCATCAATACATATGTTATACGAAAATACGCCGAACTGCATAAATGCTTTATTCAGCTCATCCAAGATTGGTCGTATTTTAAATAATCTGTCTTTGTTTCCATTTATTAGTGGTATATTTGTATTGTCACTGAAATGTAGATTTCTTTTTATTTCAATATAACGATTTTTCGACATACATTTCCTTACAATTCCAATATCTATATCTTCTTCTTCTGACCAATACATCTGCTCTTGAGGCAAAGAGTGATATCCAGTTAACAGTAAAAATCCCAAAAATTTTTTGAAGCAGTCTGAAGAGAGCGTAAATTGGTGACGATTATTTTGAGTTGCATAAGATACACTTTGCTGTACGATGTGATTTACTAGATCATCTGTGAAGAACATTTCAAAAATTTCTACTGGTCTTTTATCTTTTACTCTTTCTATCATGGTCATTCTACGTTGCTCGCACTCTTCTTCTCCCTGACTAGAAATGTTGAATGATGCTCTTTCTCTTTTCCACCTTGATATGGGTTTTTTTTAGGTTTCTTTTTTCTTTGAACAGTAACCTTCTCTTCATTACACCTACCGCCATGAATTTCTAATGAACCTGTAACATCGTTTGGAATTGTATCTTCCAGAATGTTGTCATCTATATCTTCTAAATCAGACACATCATCCGCTCTATCTGGTGGTAATTCAACTATGTCAATAGTACCTCCTGGGTCATCATCATCTGTCAAATCAAGATCATTGTCCCAATATTCTTCAAGCTCTCTTAGCTTTGAAAATTTTCTTCTACTCATGATTATCCAAATGAAATAAAAAAATATTTAAAAAACACAAATTATAATAATACTGACATTTATCAAAATCCAACCATGTTGATCTTGCGGATAAAACTCTCTAAATGACATAACTTCTCAGCACAATGTTCATGTCCATCTGCTCTAAAATTTTAAATATCTTGCCCAATAGACGAAAAGGACTGGCGACGTCCCACCCCAATTAGAAGCAGGTGCGTTTCAGAATCACCTGCTATTTCCACCCCCACATCTTGTTTCTATTATTATTATTAGTGGGCAAATTCAACATTTTCGTTAGAAACATTCTTTCTGGAACTCTCCCCCCTTTCTTTCCCCCCGTATCAAGTCTATATTTGTCAGTGGAAGCATTCCACACTTTTGTGGGTAACAGCTTTTTGGAAATTCCGGAAACATATTGCGCCAGATAACTGAACAAATGAAAATTTCAATTGTAGCATAAATAAATCATTTTACATTGCAATAACCGTGAGCCCCAAATGGGGATCATTGTATTTTACAGGTGCTGACGGCATGAAGTAAACAATGTGCTCAATTTTTATTTTATATTACTCAGAACTCATGTGCAAACAACCTCTGTCAGAAAAAATAATTCATTTTAATATAAATTAACAGATATTCACTTAGAAAATAGACATATGTGAAAAAGCGTTGTTTACAGGAAATTTTTCGAAAAAATGTCATATATGTATTTTATTTTGCAAATAAAACTAATAAATTAGCTATCTACATTAAGAGTAGACTATTATGTAGACACATGACTTTAAAAATAAATGAAAACCTAAAATTTAGGGATGAACAAGATAAAAATTTTCGTGATCCCCAAATGGGGCCCATGGCAGGGAATGGGTTAAGAAAAATGCTGTTGCTGCATGCTTTTTAGACATACAAAAGACATTCGACAGAGTATGGCACGCCGGCATTTTCTTCAAAACGCAAAAAGCACTTCTCTCTATCAATCTCATCAAATTAATATACTGCTATTTAAAAAATCATACATTTCAAGTTCGAATTGGAAAATCTCTCTCCAATAGAAAGATCATTAAAGTTGTGTCCCCCAAGGAAGCATTTTAGCGCCGATCCTATTTAACATCTTTATAAATGACATGCTGCAGCCATTAAATGCAAAAATCGTTAAATATGCTGATGATACTGTCGTTCTTACGAAGTCTTTAAAACCACAACTCGCTATTGACAAACTAAATCTCGCAATTAATATCACTGATCATTGGTTTAAGATCTCGAGAATTAAATTAAACCCAAATAAGTATAACGTCACTAGTTTTAAAAGATATAAAAAAATACTCCTGTTGACATTGATATTCAAATTAATAATGTGCAAATACCAGTTAACAACTCTATTAAATACCTAGGTGTGCTCTTTGACGAACAACTATTGTTTAAAGAAAAAACTATGAATGCATTACGAAAAGCTAATGCAGGTGTTATTGCCCTTTATCCTCTCCTACGAAGAAACTCGAAATTTCACATAAGAACAAACGCTATATCTCACTATGATTCGACCCATTTTACTATACGGTATTCCTGCCTGAAGCACTGTTGGTAAAACCTATCGTAAGGAATTAGAAGTTTTTCAAAATAAATGACAAAGGATGATTTTAAACGCTCCATGGTATGTTCGGAACAAGGAAATACTTAAAGAAATGAAGATCGGTTCCATACATGACGCAATACTTTCTACTTTCCATAACCTTTTACAAAAAGTGCAAAATTCAGAATACCACCATATAAGAAAACTTGTAAACTATGACCCAACTATTGAACATACTTTCAAAGGTGCCTCTCGAAAACATTGTGATCGAAAACGTCACGGAGAAAACAACGCAAGGCGAAAACTTCGCGGTACAAAACATCGCGGGAGAGTGGTGTATTTAATTATGGCAAAGCACACTAGGGTTATCTGCCTAAGGGGGAGGGATGTCTTCGTGGAGGGACTTTCTAAGGGAAACTGGATCGTATACACGTTACACATGGGGAAAACCACGAAAACACCCATGCAGCCAGCCCGTTCGCGGGATTCGAACCTCGGACCGAACTACCAGTGTTCAGCGACTTTACCGCTCGGCAGCTGGTGGGTCATCGTGAGAGAAAAGAAAACAAAGAGAAAACTTCGCAGTTCTAAAACATCGTGGTACAAAATAAAGCGGTTCAAAAACTTCGCAGTTTAAAAACATAGTTGTACGAAGATGGGAATAGTCAAAATGGCTTCCCACGAATTTTTGGAATCTGGGGGAGGGCACCTTTCTCGAAATTCAACTCCCCGCTGTTCCGGATAATGACACAAACAAACAGACAAAGAGACGCGCACAGATTTTAATAATATAGATTTTTACAGTCATATATTAAATACCACGATATAAAATAATCCTTTTTGTTTATCTATCGTGCACGTCTACTGTAATTATCGTCTACTTTCAGTCTCTTAGTGCTCAATTTTGCCTCTACAGGGCGACAATCGTTCTTGGTTTACACTTATATTTATTTGCTGCGATTTATAATGCTATATTGTTTATAAATATTTATAACTGATAATGTTTATAAATCTTTGTACCATTTCTCAATCTTAAAAAAAATTATTTCTGAAGCTACATATTATGTACATTCGGTGTTCCGCCTAAAAACGAGTTTTTCAAAAATAAATGACAGTTGGCCTTAAGATTTAGCAGTTTTAAACTTGCATCTGAACTTGCTTGGACCAGCTTTACTTTGCATAAAACCCATGCAACGAATATTATTAGAAACCCTAAGATTAATAAGTCAGAGCTTAATTGCAAGTTAGGCATCGCCTTCCATTAAACATTTGATTTACTATCGCACTTCGATTGTTCGAAATTAAATGCTATCAGGATGCAATTGGATAATTGATTTTTATGCATAAAAATTGATTATTTGGTATAAACATTTATTTCCAAAGATTATATTAGTTAAAAAGGAATTTATTTACAAGTATTAACTTTGTTTTCAAGTATTATTGTTTAAAGGAGGCATACTATTTTCACATAATACAATAAATTCAGTTCTAACAAAATAAAATCAATAGACACTATCACACTTCTAAAACCGAAAGAAACGGAAAGAATCTATAATCAGCGCATTAAGAAATACTGTCTCTGCATGCCGCATAATTTTTTTTTAGCCCAAAAAGGCTATTTTTATAGAAATGCGATTTTTTATGTAGAAATTCTCGTTTCAGGGTGTTTTTTTTTTTTTTTTTTTTTTTTTTTTTTTTTTTTTTGATTGTGGATTCCTGGACAGGAAGTGGTCAGCAAAATAGGGGTTGCGCTGCGAAGTAAAAGTTACTAGAGAAAAGGTAAAGAAAATAAGGACCTTTTTTCGCTTTTTGTGTTTGTTGTAGAGCCAGTGTGATTGTTTTCCTTTTTTTTACGTGCTGAATTTCCAGCGTTAAACGTTCCAGCGTTCCACCGTTAATGTAATGCTTCTCCTTTTTTCGATCAAAGGTTATTTGTAAATTTACCTTAACAGAAATTACAGTTCTTTGCATTTAGGGACTTAGTTAATAATAATAAACTCAAAATATAAATTCATCCTCCCTATAAGCCTAAAGATTGAAACAGTCTGAGCAAATATATGAAGTTGATTTAAGGCTGGTTAGCTGAATATACATTAGTATTGACTATATTAGGTCTTAAAAGTGACCGAGAAACTAAATTATGCAGTAGTACGAGAAAACGATAATAAGATTTTGAAGAAATCTGATTAGTCAACTTCTGACTTTAGGTCTTACCTACCTACTTTTCCTGTCATTGCCGTTGATATCTGTTCAAATATGTTTTGACGAGTTCAGACAATCGATTTTTCTCAATGGTTTGGAATCAGGATGCTGATGTATCGGTAAGAGCCGAAAATATGGCGGCAAAAACATCGCGGACGAAAATGTCGCGGAGAAAACAACGCAAGGCGAAAACGTCGTGATACAAAACATCGTGGGAGAAAACATCGCAAAGGAATACATCGCGGTTCTAAAATATCGTGATACAAAACATCGTCGTCCAAAATAGAGCGGTTCAAAAATTTCGCAGTTTAAAAACATCGTCGTCGAAAATATCGCGGTAAAAAATAAAGTATCTACAAACCATCGCATGGCGATAACATCGCAGACATGCTTTTTTACAGGCTTTAATAATTGTAAATGGATATTTCCATAATGATTTATGAGCGCAAGAGGGAAATAAGGATTATCTTTACTTTCATATTTTTTATTAACTAATAAATTTTTGCTGAAAAAGTAAGAAGGAAATTTAAGCATAAAAAATTAAGGCAACTTATAGCACTTAATAGAATTTTAAACTGACATAGTTCACTAACAAAGATCATTAATAAATCCTTTTTTACTGGTAATTTTTCATTAAAAGTATAATCTAAAAATGTTTAGAAAAAGGAAGCTACGTAACTGCATGACCTTAGCTATAAAAAATTGCTAGTTATGAGATTATTTTCATCACTTTTGTCAATCTAATGGTCTTATAATGAAAATTATTTCTTGTTCTGCTTCAGTTTATTCTTAAGTATTAAGACTCCTTCTTACTTTTTCAGCAAAAATTTATTAGTTAATAAAAAATATGAAAGTAAAAATTATCTTTCTTTCCCTCTCGCGCTCACAAATCATTATGGGAATATCCATTTCCAAGTATCAAAGCCCGAAAAAAGCAGGTCTGCGATGATATCGTCCTGCGATGATTTGTCGATACTTTATTTTTTGCCGCGATATTTTCAACGACGATGTTTTTAAACTGCGAAGTTTTTGAACCGCTTTATTTTCGACGACGATATTTTGTACCACGATGTTCTAGAACTGCGATATTTTCTCTTTGCGATGTTTTCTCCCACGATGTTTTGTAGCGCGACGTTTTCGCCTTGCGTTGTTTTCTCCGCGACGTTTTCGCCCGCGATGATTTTGCCGCGATGTTATCGGCGGACACCGATGTATCTTGAGCAATTTTTTTTAATTTAAGGGAAGAAAGGTAATTCATCTGTAACATCTAAAAACAATTATATGGTGATTAAAATAGATATTATACAGAATTATTACATCCCTCGTATGTGTTGTAGCAGTGTAAGTGGTTAGTATGCCCAAATAGCATAAGATCATGGTTCAAATTCCAGCGAGGGTTTAGAAGGATTTCTCATTTTTCTCGCCTTCGATACACCTGTAATATATTTTATGCATGTCGCCGAATTAAATATGTGTATTTACCATAGCGTTGTTTTATGCGTTTTGCGTCCAGTCGAAAGGGAAAGAAAAATCTCCGATTAAAATCTTCAATTTAACGTATAAAATTAAATGGCATGATATGTAAACATATACCAAGGCCTCGGGGATTCTCAGATCGACAACTATAGGCTCTGCCAGTGAAACGGGAAATGTTTAAAGCACCCAATATTTTCATGGACCACTTATTATCAGAATTTCTTTACAGGTCTGAGATGAGAAAAGTATGCCATTTTGCTTTCTAAAAATAACGTCACTGAAGTGAAAACCATTTCTGTGTAAACATTCTTCTAAACTGGGCCGAAAATTTTCCAATAAGCAGATCAGGTTGAATCTGCCCAATTTTTTGTCTGATATTTGTTTTCAATTCTTGTATGGTTTGGGGGTCTATGAACGCACACACTGCTGTTCAAAAATCCCGCAGTAAAAAACGTCGCATGGGGACATATCTGGGGATCTTACAGGCTACGAGATTTTGTCGTGTTTGGATATGTTTCTTTCCGAGAAGAATTCTCTTAAAGCAGTTGTGGACACACGAGCAGTTTCACTTGTGGCTCCATCCTGCTGAAGAAAATTAATTTCCGAAATCCTAGGGAGCTGCTGCATCAAAAATATTCTGTCCGTATGTATGGTGGTCTGCATTAACAGTTGCGGGGTTTCCCTCTATCTTCTTGGAAAACAAATGGCCAATGATATCAGATGATGAAAGTGCGCAACACACCATAACTTTTGGAATACGTAATGGCTTTTCGTACAACTCACCTGGATTTTCATCATTCCAATATGAACTAAAGTCACACAGTCAATATTCTTATAAATTTATGCAGAAAGCATGCTATACAGCTAACCACTGTAACATATTTAACAGATGTCATTAAATGTAAAACAATAATCAAAACCTCAACGTCTACTCGTGAACAAAAGACGAACCGTTTACTCTCAGCCCATCAGGAATGAGAACTCCACCGCTTTCATTAATGAAGCCGGAGTTTTTGAAAATTCTCTGAAATGTCATTACAGTTCGAATGCTTTTCTACTGATAGTACGTCTGATCAGAAAATCACGAACTTTGTAAATTAATGGTTTTCTTCTCTTTCTCTTAGAACCATCATGCAGTTAACCTCTTCGGCTGAAATCAAGGATACTATCAAATATTCTTCTCCCATTAAAACACCAGCTTAGACGGAATCACCAATAAAATGCTTAAACATGTTCCGCACAGATACATTGTTACGCTCAGTTGACTCTTGAAACAAGGCCTCTATTTTCATGATTCTCAAGCCGCTCAAACCTCCAGACTCTCCAAGCAGTTATAGATCCATCAGTCTCCTTTCTACACTTCCAAAATTACTGGAATGTATCATCTATAACGGAATATGAAACCTTATTTGCAGGAACTCAGTGATGTGTATTCCGGTTTCGAAAAATACTCTCAGGTGCGTCTGACTTGAAGTACTTATTTACAAATTAATCAAAATGAGTTTTCTACGCGAAATTATCATGTTTTGCAATCTTCTTTGGAAAAATGATATTTACCATCAGACATGGAAATATCTTTTCGCTACCTAAGAGTACATGTGCTGGAATTCCACAAGGCTCCATATTAGGCCCGATCTTCCACATTATTAATGCAAATAACTTTCCTAGTCTCCAAGATGATCAGCACATTCCTCTCGTATGTTACGCCGACGACACGACTATTCTCGCCAAATAAAAGCTTCCTATCCACGCCATTACTTGTATTTAAAACCAGATTCCCGCCATTAAAGAATGGTGTCATAAATGGAAAATTAGCATTAACCCTGCAAAATCTGAAGTACTGATCATCAGAAGATACAAAATACTTCCCCCCATTACCACCCAAATCACACTTTTCAGTAGCGGCGTTCCGTTTATCTCCACTGCAAAATATCTGGGAGTTACATTAAATTCTAATTTCACCTGGACTAATCATATAAGATATGTCAGAGGGAAAACTCTGAAAATTATCCTCAAATTAAATTCCCTTCTCTCAAGCACATCTGGACTTAGCTTAAATTAGCTATTAAGGACTTAAGCTATTATTATTAAGGACTTAGCTATTAAGGAGAATTTATACTTCAGTAATCCACCCTGTCTTCTCTTACATTTCACTGGCTTGGACCCATGTCACAGAAAAGGATATTAAGCAGCGCCATCATTCAAAACAAGTTCTTGCGACTTATCACTGGAGCTCCTTATTTTATCACGAACAACTCTCTGCACCGTAATCTCAAAATTGACTACGTTTGTGGCTATCTTAACAAATTGAATGACAACTTCCACAAAATGTCTTTAGCCTGCTCAATCGCAGATTTTGTAGATTATCTCAATAACGAAATACTACCAGAGGATAAAAATATCAGGCTATATGCTGTACTTCAAATTAAGCAACTATTTTATATAGATATTTGCATATTTGCTTTCTTCTCATCCCCGTGGGTTTTTAAAAATCCACTTTAGCATTATCAATTCTGCTCTGCACAAGTTCCCTGAATTGGTTCATGAAGTCACGTGACCGTCAGATTTCCTTAATTCCAATTTTTTTGGAATAAAATGTGCGACTTTGCAATTTTACTGTTATTCCGTATTTTCCTACTATCATGCTGTGAATAAATGACTTTATATTCTTAACTGCGTGATACTTCTCAGCATACTTCATGCAAAGGACTGCTCCCTTTTCTCCGATAACCCCGCAGCCGAGTGGTTACTGCATAGGAAGGTAATCGCAAACTCGCTGATTGCAAGTTCTGTTCCGTGACGGAAAGCGAAATTTTTAATCGCCACCTACAGCTTAAATGAACTTATATATATTGCTTCACTTGCTGACCTTGAGTTTGAAAGATATGTCTGTGGTAGAAAGGATACCAAGGAAAAAACTTCTTCAATTCTCTTTTCAAAACTGAAAAACAGAAAACAATGTCTCAAAAATTCTCAGTAGCTTCATAAAGTAAATCTTACTCCAGTTAATATCTTCAGAGAAAATCGGTTGCTTAAATATAAAAGTATTCATTCTTAACTGCTATCAGAGATAAGCAGAGATAAATCTATAAATAAACGGTTTTTGATTATCTGAAGGTTTAAAGATTACTCTAGATATTTTCTCTCAAGTTTCTATTGTTCTTAAGATTTGCACAGCGTAAGAGTGATATTCTGAATGTACCAAGATTTTATTCGTATTGTGGTCAATTCACGGCAACAGCTGTAACGAAAGTAAGTGCTATATTTCCTCTTCCAGTTATCTTAATACATTCGAAAAAAACTTACTGCTGTATACATAAGCGTGCACAGAATATTTCCCAATAGGGCAAAGGACTAGAGACAAGTAATTATGTCACCAAATTTTTATTTACTTATTTAATTTGCAAGGGGGTTCCAATACAGTCTACAATTAGAGCCGTGACTAAGGCTGTTCGCACGTTTATCAGACGATTTTCATTGTATTTACAGAAATATTTTACTTAACATTTTTGCGTTTTAAATGTTCCATTCGATAACCCTTATTCTTAACAATCTTTCTGCACCGTAATTTCCAAGACAATAAAGCTTTTTTTTTAGTAGCGGAAGACGTACTTTACCGTATTCCACGTAAACACATTTCCAAAGTCCAAGGAGGGTTTAGGTAGACGTCTTGTAATCCGCTTTTTAAAAGTGTAAAAGAATAAAAATCGGTGAATGATACCTCAGAAGATTTAGTAGGGATATAAGTAAAGGACCTTGATACATGTTTCTTGTTCCATTTTTTTCAGGATTTTCTTGCTTTGTCTTGACTCAGTTCTACTGATTGATGGCATTGTGGGTAGAGAACGTACTTCATATTTGAAAATTGGGTACAAAATAAATACCTGGTAACATATGGAGATGATCGTAACATTTTTCTCGACTCTATTCTATTTTTAAATTCTATTTTTAATTTGCTGTTATATGAAAACCAGCAACAGTCATAAATCCCTTTGAAAAACTTTCTTTAGATTCTTTGAATCACGTTCTAAGAATTTTTTTTCTTTTTGTTGATAATAAATGGATCATTTTATTGCTGTCATTTTACCCAAGATTGGTTTATTGTGCCAACATTTTTCCATTTTTGTCCGAATAATTGTTTCTTATAGAGAAATATGCAGCACGTTCTGCTCTCGGTGATATGTTGTGGAGAAAGACGATTCACATTATGTTTTTTAGCTTTTTTAATATTAAAATCAGCATTAATGACTTTGTTTACAGTTGAAGCTGAGCATTTTAATGGTTAGGCAACTGTTCTTTGATTTTGAAGATCTTCTTTTAACATTAAAGTTCTTACCTTTGCAACATTCGAAACATTCCGTTTTTTTCCTTGGATATGTATTTTGAATGATTTTTTCTCTTTGAAACCAAACTTTGATTTTTTTTTCTTATTGACAATATTATCTATCATTGATTTAGATAACAAAAAATCATGGCTTTCATAGCAATAATTAAATACAAGCATTTATAATTTCATAGCAATAATCAAATACAATAATAAATAATTTCAAGTAATAATTAAATACGAATAATGTTATTCGGTAAGAGCCCAAACGTAGAGTTCCATTGATTACTTCTTTAAAAGCGCCAGTTTGCATGAAAACAAAGTTGTCAAGTAGTAGACGATAATATATGCTTCCTAAAATATAGTTGCAGTTAAAAAAATTTAAGCAGCCGATTTTTTTATAGCAAATCAAAGTCATCTAAAAAATGTACGAACAGCCTTCGTATTTTTTCGCCTGAAGCAAGAGCCCCTATATAAGGCATAAATCCCCTATATAAGTGTACCTATACATTTTTGTATTCAGTACATTTTCAGATCGTAAAACCATAACTTTAGAGTACAATTTTTAATTACAATTTCTTATATCAAGAGAAATAATATTAAAAACGTATTTAGTTGTGAAATGAGAAAAACTGGAAAGCACGTTTTTGATAATTTAACCAAAACAACTAACTTTGAAAATTACAAGTATAAAATGTAGTGCAATTAATATAAAACGATATAGCACTAATTTCCGAGACATTGTTTTAGAATTAAATTTTTCATTTATCCGAGCATTCATCAATTATTTTTTTAACTTACTTGACTAGTTAATTAATTTTCATATAGAGAATATCCATGTTTGACAGCATTTCTTAGCCAAACGAAAATTTTATATATAACTATTTATTATTTTAACTGAAATTTCTTTCATCTCTGCAACAGTAGCTGAAAAATGATAGTTAGTTGGTTATCTAATTATGATAAAACGCACGCGGGCTATTTACTTTAGGGCAGAACTGCTTTTGTGGAGGACTGTCTATTGCAAACTGGCTAGCATTCTTGTTACACATGGGATAAACCAAGAAACCCCATGCATCTTAACCGTTCGGATAACTATAAGTAAATGAAACTATGGTGTTTACAGGCATCTTTCTTCCATTCCCACGTTTTTTCCTTATGCTTTATCACACATCATTTATAAATGTATAATAGTAAGGTACCAATTATGTACAGATAGAAAATATACGTAAGTAACAAGAACAGTGTTAAAAGTAATAACTGTGACTGAAATATAAAGCAAGTAATAATTAATGCATATATTCCTATGTGCTTTTAATCTGTTAAGATTTTTCCTTCTCTCCCAGTGGCCGGAGTGGTTAAGGTTACTGAATAGTACTAGTTTGACGAGGTTCGCTCTCAGGAGAACGGACTGGCTGCACGGCTGATTTTCGTGATTTTCCTCATGTGTAACACAAACGCCAGCCTGAGAAATTCCTCCACGAAACAAGCCTGCCTTTAGGCAAATAGACCTTTTATATTTTTCCATACTGAAGCATACAACTGTTAGATTCTTCCCGTCATAAATTGTGCAGACTGCATAATTTGTTTCCTCTCGATTTTCAACAGTTAAAATTAATAAATAAAAGCGGCTATAATAAGCGAGTAAATAAGGTAAGAAAAACACAAGTCTTTGTTTTATACGTATAAAGTTCAAAATGATGGTGTCGGACCCTTAAAGGGGGACATTTGAAATCTGCCTTGGGTGAAAACGGCACTAAACGTTTTCAGGAACGATTTTTATTTCCATTAAAAAGATGATTTATTTCTCTTTCGCAATAACGGTGAAACATGTTGCACGGTATTCAAGTAAAACAATATACCTGAAGGAGTTTATTTTGGTTTACCCTTTCAAAGGAGAAATTTTCTATTTACGTTGCTTATAGCTTGAAGTATAGCTTTCGATTTTTAGTTTTTGAATTTATAATCCATACATTTATACTGTGTGTGTATTTAATTATGGCAAAGCACAGGAGGGCTATCTGCCTAAAGGGAGGGATGCCTTCGTGGAGTTCTCCTTCGTTTGTTCTACTATTCTTTCTCGTTAAAATGCGAGTAGTGACGCTATTAAAAAGGCTATTGAATTATTTTCACTACTAAAGTGAAAAGTTTCTCAATGGAAAAAAAAAATTGCCCGATGTGTGAAAATATGTACGTATGTATTTAATAGTGAGCTGCAAAAATTTCTTTTAAATATTTCAGTCAGCATATAGTGTAACCATAAGAAGTTTTGTAAACTTTGAAATAAATTATAATCCAGTGATGCAAGGTCGAGGCTATATAGAAGATACGACATCATTTTCCAACTAAGCTTCAATAATTTCGTACATGTTGATGAACACGTGTGAGGTCTCGCATTGTCGTGGTGGAACGTAATTCCTTTGCGGATTTGTCAATTCTGGCTTTTTCTCTTTGATTGTTTCCTCCGATCTCATTAACTGTTGGCAGTAAACATCTGAGTTGATTGGTTGCTTGGGATCAGCTGAAAATAGCCAAAACCTTTGTGTTTGTTCCCCCGAATTGACAGCATGACTTTTTTCCTGATGCAACTTAGCTTTCGATATGATTTGTGCTTATTCACCCTGCTTTAATCATTATCTTTTTTGATTAATATTATTGTAGACAATCCATTTTTTTATCGCCAGTGATAATTCTTTTCAAAAAAGGGTCGATTGCACTACGTTTTGAAATGTGTATCGCAAATATTGATTCGTTGTGTTAAATGAATTTCTTTCAATTGTTGTGGAACCCAAATATCGAGCTTCTGAACAAGTCGAAGACTTCGTATGCGATTTTTCAATTTTTGTATATGATGTGTATAATCATTTTTTTCAACTATCGTGCGTTTACGTGACGATTGGATTCAATTATGGTTTCAATTTTGTCATCATCAACTTCAGAAGAACATTGGTCCCCTTCAAGTGAAAACTCTCTAGAACGAAATTTTTAAATCAATTCTGACACAAGCGTTCTGTTAAGCAATCAGCACCATAAACTTCACATATCTCTTTGGGAACTTCAGCCGCTTTCTTGCCTTTATGAAAATAAAAAAGTAAAATATGTCGAAATTTTTTATTTTTACACCCCATGTTAAAGCTGACTGTAAACTAAAAGATGTAAACAAAAATACATAGAATTTGTTTTTATAGGAACCTAAAAGAGTCAGCTGCCGTATCTCAAACGGAAAAAAGTATAAGACTGATAGAAGAATAACAAAAAGAACATCATGCGATCTAATTGTACAAACTGAAAATAATTTCGTGTCAAGCTAATATACATACAGCTAACGTTTACTTAGTATGAAACTACGTTTATACGTATGTTTTGTACAATTACATTTTTAAATCACTTCCAAAATTTGGCCTTTATACAAATTGTTCTAAAGTGCAATGTGCATTGAAATTACGATTTAACCGCATTACGTTACTCCCACAAAAATGCTTTTCTCTGGCGTTCATCCATGTCTACAAGCGTTTCTGACTTCATGTAGACATTACATCTGAATGTAGCTTATTGGATACTGTCAAGGGGTTATGCGGTTTTTTTGCACACGCCTTTTCCTTCAGCTCTCAGGAAGAAAAAAACAGATATTTCCTTGATCATAATTCTAAGCAATATCGGTTTAGGAGAATATGAGATTCTTAGCACGACCTTCTTTTGGGTACCCTAACATTTAAAAACAGTTTTTATAAACGGAAGACAAAATTCTTGGATGAATTGAGGCTTTATAAAATTTGGGGCTAGAAACCCAAAGATTTTAACCCCAGGATTTCTGCGTTAATCCTCTGAACTGCAGTGGCAGTGTTTAATATAAGTATTTTTTTTCCATTTGTAGAGTCATTAGATTATTTTGTAGCAGAAGAAGTTAAAGATATGCAGTGCGTCGCCGGAACACGAATCCTGGACCTCTCGATACACGCTGAATATGCTTCCAATTACACCCTGAGGAAAGAAGGAGGCTTGAGAAAAGAAGCGAGAATATACCTTATGCATTGTTTTTAACCAATAAATAATAAAAGAATGGTTGACTTTTATTGCGTGATGATTAGTGAAAATGGATTCTGTTCTATATGAGCTCAACACCTGTTCCCTTTACATTTCTCAGAGAACTGACGGTTCTTGTTGCCATGTAGATGTATTTCATTGCAGAATGGTTGCCAGAGCCTCAAGGAAGTTGGATTTCTACTTCCACACACGTTTTTGAAGAGAGCGCCGGGGGGGAGAGTCCTATGGTCTCCTAATCCTCTCCCTTACCATCAAACCACACGAGAGGACTTTTGGCTCGCGATATATTTAGAGTACTTCCATGCCACAAAGACATGGGACTTCCAAACCTCAAAGATATGAACCTCAAAGACTTTTACAAACATCCATGATTTCTCCGGGATTCAAACAAGGGTAATTCGGTATCGCAGTACCCTAACCACTATACCGTCTGGAGGCATAGTTTTTCCATAAACTATATTAACAAAGCTGATTTAGTGTTTGAAACTTGGGGATCTTTGAAGGAACGATAAATTGCATGCAGTGATAAGTTTAATGGTCTTAGCATGCCAACCCTAATTTTTCCTCGTGCATCTCTTATCTTATACGTGTTAGCTTCTCGTGTCTTAATTCTTCATTATAGCGATATTCCATTTTCTACTTTATGTTTCGTCCGTAAAGATGTTAACTATTTTCAATTCATAATTGAATTAAAAATACCTTTTGTTCTACCAAGAAAGAAAACATTTTACCACGTACTATATTTTGTGAAAACAATCTTGAAATGAAACTTTATAATTAACTTACTTTGCGTCGTAGAGTTAAATAACATATAATAAATAAGAGCATCAGTGACACAAAATGTTTGCAAGGATAAAATTTTTTTTTACTTTTTCGATTTTTGATAGAAAGAAAGTACAGAAATCTAGTGCTGTGAGAAACAAATGCAGTGAATCAAAAATGTATAGGGGCACTTACGAGCTTTCAAAGACTTTCTGCAAGATTATATAAAAATATACACTCTTTTGCAAAAAACTCGAAGCACCAAGAAGGACTTTTGCGATTGTGACGAAACTTGGTATGCAAAAACAACTTGATCGAACATGCTAATGATCAAAGTTTCAAGTCAAATGAACAGGAATTGCGATCATAGCGCGCGTTTCTAGTATAAAACCAGTAACAGAGGCGGAAAATTTATCTTTTTTTGCTGCCGCCTTTGTAATTCCGTAAAGGAGTTACTAAAGATGATATTACGACGATATCGAAGACCTTAGAGACAACTAAACGACTTCGAACGTGGTGGCATTTTAGGGTTGCGTGAAGTTGGGTGGTCATACCGAGCAATAGGCCGCCACCTGCAGCGTACAGACACTGCAGTGTAAAGATATTGGCAGCACTGGTTGTTACAAGGAAATTGCCGAAGAATGGAAAGCTCTGGAAGACCAAGGAGCAGAAATGCGAAGCAAGATAGGATGATTGTTCTTCAGGCCCGAACTGTCCCAACGGTATCGTTGTTGACTATTCAACAACCACGTCTATACCTCCCGTGGTACGGTCCATCGTCTCACGGTGCTTGTCTGAGGCGGGGTTACGCTCACAGAGGCCTTTAAGACGTTTGCCTTTGACTCCACAACATCGACGGAGTCGTCTGGACTGGTGTCGCAACCGATCATCATGGCTGCCATCAGACTGGCATCGTTTATTGTTCAGCGATAAATCGCGCTTTACTCTTGAAGCAGATGACCATCGTGTTCGTGTCTGGAAAGGACGGGGTCCAGCGATCCCAATCAGCATTTGTTTTTCAATGCCATACAGCCATAACCCCTGGTGTGAGGGTGTGGGGCGCTATTTCTTATGACAGCAGGTCATCTTTAATCATCCTCCGTACATCTTTAACAGCTCAACGATATGTTGATACCATTTTGCGGCCGGTTGTATTACCCTTCATGGCACGTCATCCCGGCTCTATTTTCCAGCAAGATAATGCCAAGCCACATACCGCTCGCATATCTCTGGACTGTCTCCGTGCGGTTGATACTCTTCATTAGCCAGCAAGGTCACCAGACATTTCACTAATCAAGCATGTTTGGGGCATAGTAGGCCACTCCTTGCCAGATTCGGGCACCAGAAAATATCGCAGATCTGTAGAGACAACTGATGAATGCCTAGCAATAGGTGTCGCAGGATGACATTAGGAATCTCTACCACTCCTTGCCTCGACGAATTCAAACATATATTGCCGCCAGGGATGGTTCGACCAACTACTAATTTGAACACTTAATGGGTGATTATGAGCCTGATTTTGATGAGTACTATGATTTTGATTTTTTAATCATTTTATTATCTGTGTATGAGCTATACACATATTCAATTTCATCAAAAACAACCACTTCCTTCATGGTGCTTCGCTTTTTTTTTTTTTTTTTTCAAAAGAGTGTAATTTGTCCTAGTTATTCGGCCCTAAATGTTATATTTTCTTAAAATACTTCTAACATTTTCTTTACTAATATGCTTGTTAAACATTTGCTAGGCTAAAATCAATTTGACTGCACATTTTTAATGATCCATTTTTCTTCGCGTTCAGTGAAACGCCCTGTTCAAAGTTTCTTATTAATCAAGTTTGTTTTAAAGTTTTTCGAAATTATATATGAATAATAGATTACATTCATTTTTTCTTTCTGATTATCGATAATTCCGATTAAAACAAGTTTCTTGATATCAAAACAAATACAGAATTGTTTCAACCTATGTTAACGAAGTAGCTCTTCAACCTTACGTTTTACAAGTCTAAAACCCTTTTTCCAGACAATGTGTAATATAATTCATATGGAGACAAGAATAAACTGCAGAAAATAATAATTTGAATGATTTTGAATGCGACAGCCAAATAACCTACGGTTACCAATTATTACATAAGTAATTTGTAATCAGTGTATGCTTTAGTTTAAGTGCATATTCAATATTTTATTCGTATGTTCTTTTTTCGTGACATTAATTTCCTGTCATAATTTAATAAATGTAATTAAATTTTCTAAAACTCGCGAAGTGCTGAAAACTAAATTCTAAGGAATAACTTTAGGTGGCTGTGTTATCAAATGTCTAGGTTCTGCTTGGAAGATAAAAATATATTGTTTTCTTCTTTTGAAAAAAGATACCGAATTTACCAAATTGCGAGTAAACTGTTGCCTTGTTTTAGTATGGATCAGTGGAACGGAAGAGTTGCTCTTGTCACTGGTGCTTCCACGGGGATTGGTGCTGCCATCTGTCGAGAGTTGGTCAAACATGGCATGAAAGTCGTCGGATGCGCGAGAAATGTCCAAAGGATACAGGCTATGGCTGAAGAAGAAACAATTGTCCAGTCTCCCGGCTCAATAATTCCAATCAAGTGAGTTTGAAATTAACTATAATTATAATGCACTGTCATTAATTTAACTGCAGATAACGTATAATATATAAAAAATTATTTGAATAGAAAGAATAAAACTTGTTTGCATATTTTTTTATCTTGTTTTAAAACAATATTTTTCATACCCGTAATTTGTTTAGATTAGATTATTTTAATATGGCAAAGCACATGAAAGTTATCTGCCTGAAGGGAGGATGTCTTCACGGAGGAATTTCTGATGGAAACGGGCTCGCATTCACATTTCACATGAGGAAAACCACGAAAACAAACCATGCAAACAGTCCTTTTGTCTGGGTTCGAAACAGCTCGAACTACCGGCAATCAATGGTCTTAACCAATGGCCGTTGATGAAGGTCACATGTAATTTGAATCAAAATCTTAAAAAATGTAGTTGTGAAACTTACGGTATGCATTTATTCCCAAATAAAGATTAGAAATAGAAAATAATCAACAATTTTGGCATATTACACATAAATTAATAACGATTACACTCTGAACCAATAACGGAATTAACTGCAATTCCGCTGAATTGTAAATGTTAGCAAAGATTTTGTCATAGAATAAATACGGATTTCTTTTACTTGTGTACGATGATTATAGGTATGCACAGCGCTCAATTGCTAAAACTAGAAGTGCCGGAGCCTAATGGAAGAGTGTCAAGAAGGAAGAAAAATATAATAAATAAATAACTAAAAATCAAAATAATTAAATAGTTAAACCAAAATTAAGGGAACTATAAAGAGATAAATAAAAATTTAACTAATTATTAAATTAAATGTAAATAATTAAAATAAAAAATTAATTAACAGACCTCATCTTGTTTAGGGCCCCGGCTAGAATTAAATTCCACTCAAAAGCTAAGAAGAAGTTCACCCGATCAGCCATCTGAATTTAAGGCCTGGTTTTACGTATAATGTACTATTTCAGGGGATGATAGATACGAAAACTAATTTTTTTTTTTTTTTTTTTTTTTTTTTTTTTTCCCAGCACACCAACGAAAAAAATTAAACAATTAAAGAACCTTTAAGGAGAATAGTGAGAATTATAGAAACAGTATGATGATGTGGAAAGAAATGTTAACTGAAAAATGTAGCTTTGAAATAAAGAGAAAAGGATTTTTTGATAGCAATGCCCCATCGATATAATTCTGGCTGTCAAGTGGAAATTTTCCCTGAATACGATCCATTAACAACATGAGAATAAATGGGACTTTTCTGTACTAGTGGCAGCAATGGTCCCTTGCGTTTGGCCACGTCGTTCAAAAGCTCTTTCAGAGGTCTGCAGTAGCAAGTAACTAGCGTGGCATGTGCACGACCAGGGTAACACTTTCAGTATTTACAGAAATGAAAATTATATTCGCTGTCATAAAAAGAGAAGAAGAAGAACAAACGCTTCCTGAAGAATAAGCCTTTGACATCCTTAAAAGTCTCAAACTCTGTCCAAGGTCTGTGTCCGATGTAAAGACAGGCTTGTGTTCAGAAGCTAGAATACATTTTTAATGCATAATTGTTATTAAAATAAAAGTTGTGAGTTAAAATTGTGGTTCATTTACAGAATAGAAGTACCGGAGTACTTTCATTTAGGTCTCCGATGCGTTCCGGCTAAAATTATGATTTATCTCAAAAACTGATAAGTACCGGACCCAGGCTTCTGTGGGCTCCGGCGCAATTTAAGCTCTGGATGTACACTTAGATATTTGTAATAGTTTACAGATTTAGAGCGATCTTTATGCGTAAATGTATCTTAAGAATGAGTGGGTTGGTTCACTGTTAAATTATATGTGTATTAAACTATGTATTTATATGTGTATTAAACTGTTAAAATATATGTGTATTAAACTATGTAAATACACATTTATATTATTTATTTATATTAAACATAAAGCATCCAAATTTTTTTAAAAAATTAAATTGGAATTAAAACAAGGCATTTCCCTATTAATATTAATAACTGAAAACCGTGGGAAAAAGGTCTAAAATTATAGATAAACATAACCGAAATTAATATAAGAATTCATTGGTAAAATAAACCCGAAAAATAAAATGCAAAATGGTAATGGAAATAAAAACTACAAATTAATCTCTTTTGTCTGAAACCTTAATTCAGAACTCATCAGAAGGAAATGAATTAAAGTTTCATAAAAGTCGATTAACGTGTCTCGAATACATGTTTCATTCTTCTGAATCATCTGAGATATATATATATATCTATAAAAAAAAAAAAAAAAAAAAAAAAAAAAAACCCACGAAAAAAAAAGATTTGACTAAAACTTCAATGATCTCAGATGATTCAGGAGAATGAAACATGTCATCAGAAATTTCTCATTCTGAGAGATAACGTAAAAGTCACTAGAATCGAAAAATGTTTCCTGAACCTTTTGCAGGGATACTGAGGTCGAATCCAATGGAAATTTACTTACATCCATTTTCAGATGACTTACTTTCTCGAAGCATTTGAACTAACTAAACTAAAGTATATTCTATAAACCTGAATTGTGCATCACCAGAATTTCCTTGAGGGACTAAAAAAAATTCAAATTATATATTTGAATTCAACAAAAGGAATTTTGTCAGGTTCACATACTCCCCTTCAAAGGCTCAAAAATATTAATTTCTTTGCAATATTACGTACTAGAACTACATGTTCTGGCAAAAATATTGAAATATGCCTTTTAAATTATTGAAATATGTATTTTAATATGGATATAGGGGTTCAAAAAAAAGAAACCCCTATATCCATATTAAAATACATCGAACGATTCTAGTTTTCTGAAAACTTTTAGTAAAGGAGAGCCTTAATGCTAGTTCTAAAACAATTTTCATATCTGAGAAAAATCGCATTTAGAATTATTAGAAAAATAGTATCTTAAGCAGTTATACTCTAATAACCTAGTAATCTAAAAATAATTACTATTGATTCTTGGGATAAAGAATGTTTTCATCGTTTATTTCTCCCAATTGAAAGGTTTAATTATTTGGTTCCTCTTCATAGAAACCAAATAATTAAGCTTCATAGGAGTATTATGTGTAATGTAAGTAAGGTAGAATCAGTTATGTATAATTTTTGTGTTAGCTTTTATAGCTTATACAGATCTACTTACTTGAAATTTCTCCCCTATATTCGGTGTTAATGAAGCATGTAGTATACAAGAACAATTTTTTCTGTGTTTAAAAACATCATTGAATATATATTACATATTAAAATATAATTAAATATTATTAGTTTTTAATTAATCTTCCGTAGAGAAGACACGATTTATTTTATCATTTATGAAATCAGTTTCTTCCATTTTGAATGTATTTTAATTGATTTCTTATTTCTTACCTCAGTTACAAATTGAAAGTTACAATAAAATGATGCTATTCATTTGTTCTCACTTATCTAATCTAATGTTGTGGATAGTTGAGTTTAACTAATCATATTAATTTTTAATTTGCATCTTTCTTCTATACCTCATTTCATCACGTAATCGCTCATTCCAGAGATAGAGATATGTGCATATTTAATTAGCAAGCGATTTAGTATAAATTGAGATGGAAAAACAAAAGAGTTCGTAATAGTATGAATATATTAGACAAACGTTGATCAAAATTAATTTTAGTTTTTTCGATCAGCTTTAAAGCTTTGATTAAAAAAATACTTAGATTTGGATTTGAGGATGTTTTCAGTTCAAGCTTTATTTCTCTGCAATGTCTAAGAGACTGGTAATTTTGTTTTGTAATATTTTAATTTGAACCTCACAGGTGGTAGATAGAATAAAAGTAAGCTATTTGTTTGTCCTTGCGTGCTTTCTACATGAAGTTAACGATAACTCGCAACGCTATCAACGATAACTAGCATCATAGCTTTAGGTAGTACTAAGTGGTGAGTGTTAGAACTGAAGTAATTTGTAGTCAGAAATAGCTCCTCAAGCATTATAATCCTACACAAAATTTAAAAGAAACTAACTGACAATTTTAATCCAATAAAATTATCGTAATAAAATTATGTTGAACAGGAATTAAAAAACTTTCAAGGTTAAATCATGTTTATGATGTCTAAAAACCGTGAACAAAACTTAGGATGATTTATTCCTCATATTAGATAATTATATATGAGAGAGAGTCTAAAAGTAACTTTAATTTAACGATAAAAATTCAAAATCACGTGGTAATCCATTATGTTGCATGCAAACTATGCCAACACCTTCATAAATCCTTGTTTGCAAGCTCATTGGTGGTTTGGTTTAGTTTATTACGGCAAAACACACTAGGGCTACCTGCCTAAGGAGAAGGATACTTTCATGAATAACTTGCTAAGGGAAACTGGCTCGCAAACATAGGGCAAAACAACGAAAACATCCATGCAGCCAGCCCGTTCAATCGAATCGAACCCGGGTCGGAAATGCCAGTATTTGGCGATTTTACATCTAGGCCGCTGGTTTAAGGAAAAAATCATATCAGCATTAACAATATTTAGAAAAGAAGAAGGGGAAGTTATCTGAATTTTGAGGTACTGATAAATGGGGAAAAATTCAGGGATGACCCGTCATTTTTTTTTCCCAGAGACACCTGGCATATCATTTTATAAGGTATTTCTCCCGCCTACTTGGCATGCCTTCGTCGTGTGGTGATCTGCACTCTAGGCGCGTATTCTAGAGGTCCGTTGTTCGATTCCCGGCGAGGGAGTAGCTAGTTTTTCATCATGCCTGCTTCCAAAAATACCTAATGTCTCTACAACTTCAGCAAGTTTATGTCAGTAGCTACCCAAACAGGGTTATGTCAGCAGTTACTTTAGCAGGTTAGATCTTTCAAGGAGGTCCCTGCCATTAAAATGTTTGGCATAAGCAAATTAGTTTATCAACTGTTACACAGTCAATTCAAATAGATTTTTCTTTTTTATCTCTATTAATAAAAAAAATTAAAGTTCTTTTCTGATATAATTTCAAAATTTGGATTCCGTTTATGCAACCTCATTGATTCATTCTCCGAAACAATTTCCAGGTGCGATCTTACAAAAGAGGACGAAATTCTATCAATGTTCGATAAAATTCGAAGGACTTTAGGAAGACTGGATGTGTGCATAAACAACGCAGGGTTGAGCTTTGACTGTACTCTTCTAGAAGGTCAAACAGAAGACTGGAGAACAATGCTTGATGTGAGTACGCAAATATTTTTTATTATTATCCCCGATAATTACCTTTTCATTCAATTAACTAACCAGATATAGAAGATTTAAAAGGAACTTTCAGCTGACAAAAGCCGTAAACATTTGTAGGCATTCAATTCTGGTTTTCCAAAAGATATTAATTATTATAACTGTCAGCTGTTAATTATTTGTGTGAAACAATGTCCAGTTTTTTTTTTTTTTTTTTTTTTTTTTTTTTTTTTTTTTTTTCTTTCCGTCAAGCTTGAATCATTTAACAGGAAACATCAGTGTTCAGTTAAACGAGAGAAGTTCTAAATACAGTTGGAAAAGTTAAGTAATAGAATGGCATCTGATATTTGGAACTGGGTCAATCAATCTATTTTTTTCAACAAGAGCAGTGAAGCCGCCCAGTCGGTATAATGGTCAGGGAAGCTGACTGCGATGCCCGAAGAGCCTCGGTTCGAATCCCGGAGAAGGCATGGTTGTAACTGTCCGTCCCTTCATAGGAAAGGCGATGGTGGCCCACCTATTAGGTGCCTCTATAATAAAGAGACCACCAGATCCGGCCTTGTATAGATTAATGGACTGGGTTACATTTGTAATTGTTCACAAGCTGCCATTGAAAAAAAAACAGCAGTGAAAGGTAACAGTTTTCTGGTATAGAAAGAACAGATATTTCCTTTCGGTAGCAGGATGAATATCATCATATTGGATGAAGATTTTAAAAAGAAATTTTATTAAATATAATTATCAATATGCATCTTACATTAAGTAACATAAATACACTGGCTTCCAGAGCTAGGCAACAAATGGAAAACTGCTCAAAAAAGTATGTAAACTTGATAATAGTATTTATTAAGTAATTTGTAACTTAAAAGTACAAGAAAATATTATACAGAATATTTACATACAGTGATATGAAAAGGAACATAAAATCGCATAACTCCATGGAAATAAAATAAATATGAAAAAGTTTCTCAATAGTAAGTATGACAACCTCGAATAAAAATGCAGGTCTCACAGCTATGTCGCATGCTTTTTATGATGTTTACAATGAGCAGCATACATAGCAATTTCCATTGATCCCGTAAAACATTTCTAAGCATATCTAGGGTTTGGGAAAGAGGGCTGGAGGCAGCAGCACGGCTTTCGAGAGCCTCCCACTCAATGAGATTAAGGTCGGAAAAGCATGCTGGCTGTTCCATTTGAGCATGCTGTTCCGAATTTCAGCTTCATCTTCATAAAATTGGCGCATGAAACGAGCAGTGTGAGGGCAAGCAATATCTGCTTGCAAAATAAAGGTATCGCCAATTGTGGCAGCATACGAAAGAACAATAGGATCCAGTGTATAGTCTATGTACCTCTAGGCACTGAGACTTCCATGTGGCGGCACATATAGGTCTGTGGGCCACCTGAACATACTCCTCGCACATAAAAACAACATCAGTATCCCTCTACCGTCATGTTAGACGGAAGATATCGACTTTTGCTCTCCTGCAGAAACAAACACTGCGACAATCACTCTATAAAGCAAAGCGGAACTCATCAGTGAATAGAACAGATCTCTACTGATTTATAGTCCAGTTTACATGACTACGCGTCCAGTTCAAACGTTATCTCCAGCGGCTGGAGTTAAGCGGGACATACAATGCCGGTTGCTCAGTATACACACTTCATTCATACAACGTTTTGCGTACTGTCGGAACTGATCATGTCCTTTATGTAGCAGAAATAAGCGCAGATCTGAGCTGAGATGGAGTTGCAGCTCTGTTGCGACCTGCATTAAGTCGCAAATGCCGGTCATCTGGAAAAGTGGTAAATATCTTAGCCTGCCTTCGGTAGATCTTCGAGAGACTAACCAGTAGTCAGAAATTGGTTCTGCTAACAGCTTACCACGAAACGATCGATTGTTAGCTATCTCGTAACATCAGAAGATCGTTTATATGCTTCTAACAGACCTATTATTCTAAAACGCAATTGTCCTGGCAAATGTCGCCTGGAACTCCTTTTTATACTTTGCCTATCTCAAATTTGGTTTAATATACCGTAGTTCATTGAATAGAGTATCCCTTCTAAGCAGCTGGTTTTAGTATGTATTTAAGTGAAGTGACAGCAGAGCCACTCTTTTGTATAATGTTTCTCAGTGCAGTTTGCTTATCCAATTTTCAAGAATTTCGAACTACTTTTGGCCGATTTACCCCAATTATTAAATATTTGATGCTTAACTTTTGGAAACAAGGGCAGTTTAATATTGTATTTAGATATTGGTTAATAATGTTATAAGGTATCTCCCACCTTCTTAGCATGTCTTCGTGGTGTGGTGGTCTGCACGCTGGGCGCGTATTCCCAGAGATTCATGGTTCGACTCCCGGCGAAAGCGTTGCTCATTTTTCATTTCTTCCTGCTTCAAAAATAACCTAATGTCTCTACAGTTGCGCCCGAACTAAAAAGGTGGCGGATGATGATTCTCCATCCCCAGGATTTGGCGATTGGGGCCCCTAAAAACCCCGCTCGCCCTTTAAAATGGTGGTAAATAAGGTATTTCTCCCACCTTCTTGGCATGCCTTTGTGGTGTGTTGGTCTGCATGCTGGGCACGTATTCCAGAAGTCCGTTGTTCGATTCCCGGCGAAGGCGTTGCTAATTTTTCAATCTCTCTTGCCTGCTTCCAAAATACCAAATGTCTCTACAGTGTTACTTTTCGTCTATTAAAATTTATCTTTTGCCTTTATGTAAGCTCTTTTCTTGTAAAGTTATGTTATAAGCATATAATATTCTGTCTTTCCTTTTCTTTTTCAAGAAATGTCTACATATTTTCAAATTCAAATATGAAAGAACTTAAACGTTTGATAAACTAGTCTCTTTGTTCATTTATGCAATGCAGATAAACTTACATGCAAAGTTCTTCAAACCATAAAAATAATATCTTGTTGCATTCTTATAATCATCTGTAGCTCTTTACGTTCTCTTCAATAATTTGACTAAATTGGCTTTCGTTTCCTTTAAAAAATTTCTCTCTTTCTCCAGGCCAAATAATATTGAAAACATTAAAGTATAAATTTAAACTGAGTATCGAAAGTTTCTAATTCAATAGCTTTAACATGTCTTAAGTGGTATATGAAGGAAATAATTAGAAGATGGCAAACTGTTAATCTAAGCTTCGGTTTAAGAGTAAGAATAAGACGGTAAACAAAATTCAGAAGTCCCAGAAACTTTAAGATTTTCTTATTGGACGATGTGTTATCATGTCCCCACAACATACTTCTATTCGGCTAGCTACAGTACCCATACTGTCTTTCCCTCTTGTGCCAACACTGTTGTTCGTCATGGTAAACGGATGAAGTACGCAGGTGAGGCACACACTAGTTCGGCTACGCAGCTGAAAGAGGCAGTGAAAATACAAATAAGATATTGCCTTATTGCTATATGTCTGCTAAGAAACAATTTATTCGCAATTCAAAAAGTCTTGTAGTTACAAAATGTGGCAAGAAAATCTCTCATCCATACACTTCTACAGATGTACATATAACTGCTTGAAATAGTTATATTAAATTAACAACATATACTGAATCTGTAATTACTAATTTACTTCTTTAATATAAATTCAAAAAAAATGAGCTAAGGCTTTGCAAAGGAAAGATGCAGCGAAAATACAATTAAAAGAATATCTTTGCTATTTTACGTAATCATTTATCTAAAATACAATTTATTCACTATTCAGAAAATCTCGTAGATGCAAAATGGGGCAAGAAAACATATTCGGACAGTTCTGCAGATGTACGCGTAACCGTATGAAATAGTTACATTAATTTAATAATATATGCTTAAATTCGTGATTTTTAATATAAATCCCAAACAATGAGCTCAATTTCTTCATACCAAGCTTCTACATATTGCATTTAAAAAATTAAATTTCAAAAAATATATATTTCAGATTCCTACAGTTTTACAAGTTTGAGAATTTTTACTGAGGGTCACCCCGTTCGCCAGATTTATCCAGCTTGGGTTTCTTTTTATGGGGCCATCTAAAGAACATCATTTACGAGACTCCCGTTGACTCACGGGAGGACCTCGTTGTACCACTATCCATTGCGGCTGCAAGCGTGCGCGAAATGCCTGTCGTTTTTCAAAATGTTCGTCAATCCCTTCTGCGACATTACCAAACATGTATTACTGTTAGTGGTCGCAATTTTGAACATTTATTGTGAATACTGTATTGCTGAAAAGAAGCACTTTGCGTTGATTTTGTACATAAACACATTTTCCTCTCGTGTCGTTTTTTTAGACCCTACATTCCTATAAAAAATGCATGTTGTAGTACGCTCCACCACCCCTCCACGTTTGTCCCATGATCTATGAAACACCCTGTAGAAAACCGGCGAGACAAAACCGAATGGCTAGAAGCACTCAACGCCACTAAATTACGTAAGTCGTTAATAATCACGGCACAATGTGGCCTGGAATAGGCAGACACACTTTAAAACTAACTTCCGAAACTCTTGCTTAAATAGGACCTCTTTCTACCTTAACCTGAATAAACGCTCGCTGTCTCATTTACATTCTGACGTGAAACGTGTGGGTGAAAGTCATGTGAAAGCAGTAAAACTTAAAATGAACTATTAGTTAAAAATAAATAGATAAAACTCAGATTTTATTCTTTTGAATAATAAGAAGCCTTATCTTTTACATTCTTAGACATTCTGTATGCTTTCAAAAAAAATTATAAAAATTTGATATCGGTTCTTCAGCATACAAAATATGATACGCATGAATGAATGACTTTTGGAGACCTTAAGAATGTTGGGTACACTTCGTTGTCAGCAATGCATCTATAACAGTGTTTCTCAACTGGATTTACTCTAAGGACCGGTAAAATATTTCGGTACGTTCTCGCGGACCGGTAAGTTTAATAATTCGATCCATTGGCACAGTTTTTGAACAGATAGCTGGATAATTTTCGCGGACCGGCAAATATTTCTTGCAGACCGGCGGTTGAGAAACACTGATCTTTAATATGTTTTTTATGTAGGTGGAGCAGTAATGCTGAATACTAGGAGTCGAAATACTGGTCGTTAAGAAATTCTTTTGAAACTGGCAACAGAAACATTTCATTTTGTTATCCAACAGAAAATGCTTTTACCGGTAAAAAAGATATCATGAAATATCTTAAAAGAAGGAATTACTTTAAATGACTGTCTGGAGCATTCCCCCTTCTATCAGAACCAAGGTGTAGAAACGTTTTTTTTTTTTTTTTTTTTTTTTTGGTTGGTCTAGACTTTACAAATTAATGTTAGATGAAAGCATTAAACTTTGCGTGAATGCAGCTGAAACGAAAGAAGAATCTATGTTAAGTTTGTCATTACTTAGCTCTTCGGGTAACAATAAGGATGGTCTATGGACAGAGTTTGAAACTGCCAAAATTAAAATCTTTAGCTTGGCTGTTCATTGATAATAAAATTAATTTTTTAAATTCTCATCTTATTTAAAAATGTTTTAGAGAAATCTTGTTGCATTGGGGGAGAGAATGGAAATACACTTCTACCAAGATATTTCATCTTATTATTAGAAACAGGAAAAAAGCTATGAAAGCTGGAATATAAATATGATTAGAGACTACTCCTTATATAAGCAGGTTTACTAATAAAAAAACACACAATTTATGGTCATTGACTAAAACTTTTTGTTTCGTGAACAACTGTATTTTGTTAGCTCTTTTAGATATATATCATTTCTTACACTCACAAAGTATTGCCTACTGAAATATGTACTATTATGTTATAAATATCTGCGCCGCCCAACTGGTATAGTGGTTAGCGTCGTTGACTGCCGTGCCGATGAACCCGGGCTCGAATCCCTGAGAAGGCATGGATGTTTGTAAAGGTATAGTGTCGGGGCCGTGTGTGGCACTCTAAATATGCGACGGGCCGAAAGTCCTCTCGTGTGGTTTGGTGGAAGGAGAGAGGGGTGGGAGACACTCGGACTCGTCTTCCCCGTGGTTGCTCTCCATCCAAACTGGGGGCGGAACTGAGCTAAATCGCACTGCCTTCTGAATGGTGCTCAAGGCTGTTGCCAAAGGTAGGCTGAATCTAGCGCTCCTTGCCAAGAGGAATTTTCATGGGCTTGGGCTGACTGCGTCAGACAAGTGCGCATAAGCAACAACAACAACACACAACATAAATATCTGTAAATATTTAAATGCCTTTTATTGCATTGTTTTTTTATGTATTGTTTTAACACAGAGTATTTATTCTTTTACTTAGCTATTTATGGATCGGTTGCTTTTAGGATAAGAGTTTCAGAGTTTATTTTGTACGTAATTTGTGGTCACATACTTTGTTTATAAGACTTTATATTTTTATACAGAATTATCGTTCTTAAGTCTGAGTGCAACAAAGTTTAAATTGTAAAAATAGCTCATGCAGAACGGGAGATATGGGCAAATATGCTCATGACAGGCCTGAACAATAATTTTTGTCGCTACTTTGGTGGCATTTAAGGATTTCTCGCTGACTTAGCTGCTTTTGTTGGTATTCGAGAGGACGCTTCATCCTTGAAGTATTTCTAGCTATTTACTGTGCTACGAATTAAGAATTTTTATAATAAATTGTCATTTTCTTTCTGCTTATCTGGAGAGATCATTTAAACATATGTCAAAGAAGCTGTGGCTTGCAACATCATTTTCGATTCTGGGATATTAACCAGCACTTGTCGATACAAAACCAGTAACTATGAGCACCTTTTAGAGATGAAATATATTTTCGTCATCAGCAGATCGTGGAAACGCATACTTTAGTTTCCGATGAATATTGTTTTGCAGTCTCATTCAAAATTCGCATCGAACAAACTGTTATTTTCCGCAACATTTCTCTGACTCCGCATGAATTCTGGTAGAAACAAAAAAGGCAGAAAACTTACTTCGAACTAACTCCCAGTTCTTATTCTTACACTTTGTCTTCAATTGTTAACATCTTCCAACATTGCGTGAGAACTGAAACGCTCTATTGGTAAAATGCACATAGGTAGAAATAATGGATTGCTTCTGCTTCAATTTCCAGTAAATTTAGTCAGCTCAAAATGCAGAATGCATTAAAAATTAACACGAAAATAAAAAATATTATTCCTAGAAATTTCAAAGGTGAAAAGATTACCAGAAACATCAAAGAAAAGAAATCGTCCACATTCTTCCTTAACCAAAAAAGAAAATTGATAAAGAAAGTTAATCTTTCCATAAGAAAGCGGAATAGCTTCTAAGGTTTTCATAACACTCGCAAACCTCATAACAGTCGAATCATCGGTGGTATTACTGGCAGTGTATTTTTCCCCAAAAACCTAAGAACCGTATTTTATATTGACATCATTTTATTACATTACTTTATCATTATTTAGTTCAGGAGATTATGCAACTGTATAAAACCATCAAGAAATGGTTAATGCAAACTACACTAAAACAGCGCTTGATAGAAAAAACTGAGATCTCTCAGATTCAGCACCTTAAGAAACTATAAATTCAGTGTAAACTTTAAGATAAGTTTTTTACAAGCTTAAATTTTTCAGATTTGTGCTATTAATTAATTACTCGAGACGAAATGATGCTCAGATCATGTGATTATGTACGCCTTTTTTTAATTTCTTGACGCTGTTAAGCTACTAGCGAAGAATGTTTCATTTAGAACTCAAAGTTTCCTGACTTTCTAAATTCGTGCTACAAAAAACAGAGTCTGCAAAAGTTATCCGTTGCGAAAATTAAGTAAATATTTATACAGATCTTTGCCTTCCTATCTATATATTTTTTCTTTTCTTTTTCCTTTAAGGTAAACGTGCTTGCTTTGTGCATATGTACACGTGAAGCTGTGAAACTGATGAGAGACGTCCATTTAAATGACGGCCAAATTATCCAAATCAGCAGGTATGAAGCCACTTCTAAACAAAATTTTATAAGTCAATAATTTAATTACACTGGTAAAATAAATTAAGAGAATTTTCATATTTGAACTACGGTCTCAAGAACTACTGAACAGATTTTAATAAAATTTGATGTGAACATAGGTTGATATAATACAAACAAAATAAACATTCAACAGTTATGACAGACACACATGTTCGTGTGTAACACACATGGGAGTCTGAAGATCTGAAACAGAGGTTGCAGAAGACACAGAAATGGGTTAATAGTATGGTCCCCTCTTACAACCATCCAGGCCTCGCAGCGTGATGTCATACACTGGAAATAAGGCAGCTTATCAGTGCCTGTGGCAATTGGTCCCACTCATTCAGCAACGCTGTTTTCAGTTCCTAGATGGTTCTAGGAGGGGTGTTGCGATTTGCAATTTCCCTCCCCAAAGCGTCCCAGACATGCTCTATAGGGTTGAGGTTTGGAGAGCTGGCTGGCCAATCCATCCGACAAATATCCTCACTCTCGAGAAATTCGTCGACCAAAAGAGCTCTCTGTGGCCTCGCGTTATCGTCTGTAAGATGAATTCGGGGCCCACTGCAGCCCGGAAAAGGCAAACATAGGACTCGAAGACCTCATCCCTGTACCTTACACCAGTCACAGAGCCTCTGTCAAAGGCGTGGAGATGTGTGCCGCCATCCAACATGTTGGCTGCCCAGACCATTACGCCGCGACCACCATAATTGTTGATTTCGCGGACATTGAAGGGTAGGTAGCGGGTCCCTGGCTATCTCCATATGAAAGTACGGTGAGAATCGGTGTTTATGCTAAAACGGTCGCCCATTGCTCCGTAATCCAATCACTATACTGCCTGTACTATGCTAATTGGGCTCTCCTGTCCGTAGACTTGAAGCGAGACTAAAATAGCCGGTCTTCTGGCAAACAACCATCTCTCATTCAGTCTTTTGGAAACAGTCACCCTTGTTACACTCGTTCCTCTAGGTCTCTAGAGAGCTGAGAAGCTGTAGCCTCTCTGTTCCTCGCTAAAATGCACAAGTAGCGATATTCTCTGGCCGTTGTGGCTCTTGGACTACATTGCCCAGGATGGGATTCGATGGATCAAGTATCCTTGAACTGCTTACTTAGGTTACACGACGCTGGGCGTTAAACTCTCTGCATATCTGGACTTGCGATTGGCCTGCCCCTAGCCTCCCCACAATTCTCACCTCATTCCATCATCTAAACCGTTTGTGGTTATTCATTTTCACTGTTCGGATGTGAATTTAACCGACTGCTGCAAGATAACACCAAGAAATTCGCCGAGGTGTGCTGTCAAACGCAATTCGTCTCACCCTCCACGCGCTTATACAGCCTTTTTTCTGCTGGCTCCGCTTACACACGTGTACGCTTAAGTATTTGCCGTACAAGATTTATATTTTTATCTAGAAGCAATGATTTTTCGTTCAGTTCAGTTCTTTTCATGCAATTCGATAAAATATGCAAATTCTCTTAATTTATTTCACTGTATTATAATGTAATTTTCTTCATTCTTTGACTGTTCTGTAAAACATTTGAAAAGATTAGCATTGACCAGTATTTGAACGTTTTTGTAATTTTGCATTTATTAAATATTTGGAAGTAAAACGCGGAAAAGTGTCTGAAACAGCACTATTCAACAGAAATTCTGTTTTAAGGTTTTAAGTACCATTTATTGTTTCTGTTTAATCGATTAGGGCAAAGTACATAGTAGTTATCTTCTTAAGTCTAAGGAGACCTTTGCAGAAGGCGTTATAACGGAAACTATCTCATGTTTACTTTTTAATTTGAGAAAATAAAAAAAATCCAAGCCATTAAAATTATAAAATACTACGTTAGAGAAATTTCTGTCTGTTATAACTGGAATATAATTATTATGGCTAGCACTTTCTTCTTCGGATACCCCATGATTGTGAAATATATTAAACAAATATGAAAATGATTCATTTTATGAGCATCATTTTCGACAACAAAATATTTTTGAACATGTTTTGTACAAAATTAAAGGTTCAAAATTTCTCTTTCTGTTTATTTAAATCACAAAAATAAAATAATATCTATTTCGAATAACAAAAAATTTGATTGACATCATTAAAGCGAAAGGGATCAGAACCGTTGGAACAGTATCCAAAGGAGGACTTTGCACACGCTTCTACAGATGGTTCATCTGAGACAATGGTGGTTCTGGAGTATTTCTGACTACTTCAGGTGATAATACAAATTGGCTAACACAAAATTGGCTACTGGAGCCATCCATAATAGCGAACTCCACTTAGGGCTGTGGAGTCGGGTAGATTTTTGGGTAAAAGGAGTCGGAGTTGAAGTCGCTAAAAATACGTCGACTCCAACTCCAGTTTTTATTGAACAATTTGTACAGTTTGAATCTGAACAGTTTGAATGTGAAATGAAATTAAAGTGAACTGAAAAAAAATTAATGACAAACTGAGTTAATATTTTATTTATGGACTATATACATTAATAAATAGTTATTTTCTATTTTATTGACATATTAGTAAATAAATATAAGGAAGCAGGATGGACGTGATATTTGTTATTGTTGATTAAACTGATTAATTACTAATCTCATTGGTGAATTTAGGTAAGCAGCAAGAACTCCCAAAATTGATGCCATTCTTAGGAAGCGAGCAGGAAAAGGAGCAACGCAATGGAGAAGTACATATTTGATGATACAGGGGTTGTTAGGATTAGGAATGTTTTCGGAAGATGTAAATAACCCTAATATTTCACTAACAAAAAGACTGTGGAATGATCTTGCAGAACTGGAAACCCTTCTTTCGACACCGCATATAGCCACAAAAAAGCTACAATCTGAAGAATTAACAAGAGGCAAGACTGGAAGAATGCGATGATTGTTCTTTCTGAAATGGAGGGTTTATTGCAGAAGGAATCATTTCTTCAAGGAAGAAAAGAGAAACTAGTTTGCTAGTCAATAAGATCGTCCTGAGTTCAATATATGTAGATCCAAAACGCCGGATTTTGTTGCATGACAAACAAATTAAAAAGGCAAAGAAAGCAATCTATGAAGTATTTATTGCAGGAAATGCGAATCATGCTCACACAATGTACAGGGAATTTTGTAATTTCGGCCATCGTGGCTTACTTCCAGAAATAATTCCCGCCGAGAAGCAGACTTTAATGCGCACTCTTTAGGGAGTGTGGCAGGAGATGGTGTTTTTAATGCCTATGAATTTATGAATCTTTTTAACACTTCATGTAGGAATTTAAGTATTATCAGAATGTAAGAGGACGTAACACTGGTTGATTCGGGATATCTTGCAAAAAAGGGGCATTTTAATAAGACAGTAACGAATTTGATCCCGGAAAAGGAAAGTTGTTTTTTAAAGTTAGGTACATTCTTGCTGCTGGAAGAACAGGTACAAGTATTCAAAGATGTTCTTTTCGAGCTTGTCAGCACACGAAGACCTTTAATTAAGAATGAAAATTTTCTCAAAACAACTGGAGTATTCAAATCAGGACAGTCAAACTGCAGATATTGCAACTGAGTCTCTATCATCCTCTTCCACTGATGAATTAGATTTTTAGAAATATTTGGATAATATTGAAAAGACTAAGGCAAAGCGAATGAAAATAGATAACCGAAGGCCTTTAGATATAAAAATGAAAACATACATACAAGATTTAGAAAATAAATCTTTGAAGAAATGGATAAATATAATTGCTCTTGCAAGACACCATTTTTAGAACTTAAAAAATTATATCCTGAAAAGTTAAAGGAGTGACAGCTCTTCTTCCTACTCAAGTCAGTATGGAAAGACTCTTCTTAGTTCTGAAGTTTATCAAATCGGATCAATGGTCCTCTAACAAAGAAGATTTTGCCGAAGTTTTAATGTTTCTTAGAAATTACTAATGCCAGTTTTTCCATTTCACAATAAATGCTAATTAATATAAAAAATTTGCTATGCATCACTTTTTTCCTGTAGCATCTATTACTTCTTTTATATTAAAAAAATAAGCTGTACTTATGTGCATATCTTTACATATATATGAAGGAGTCGGAGTTATTAAAATTCCAGTAGTCGGAGTCAGAGTCGGAGTCGGTTATTTTTCCTACTGACTCCACAGCCCTGCTAGCAATAGCGGGAACACATGTATAGATCCCTTCTCATTTCTGAGCAAAGAAAAGAACTCGTTGTCTTCTGTGACTCAAATGCAGCTCTACCGGCAATCTTAGATGAAAGCTCCTTCATCACCAACGAGATCCTCTTTCGCCTAAACAATCTTCAAAACCTAGATAAGGTTTGAATTCTTCAGTTGTTGCCAAAGCTATGAAGAATAACATATATCAAAACCATATTTATTGGAGAAATAATTGAAGGTGCAATCATCGAGTAAACTTTCAGTCCCATTCGACTTGCGGAACACATAGAAATCAATATTTTGGGTAGCTTCCATGGTTGACAATAGCTGGTGCCACACGCCTCGAGCACTGAGAGAAAAAAGGCTTTAGGTTACATCAGTCTGGTAGCCGCAGGCGGTGTTTGCTGTTAAGTTCAAATGGTAGCTGCAAGTGGTCTGTACTGGTTCACTCTTTAACCAACCATCGACCAGATATGTTCAATGGGCAATATGTATGGGAACAAGGCGAGCCGAAATAGAACTGGAATTGTAAGGGCGGGCTGAAATTGTATGATCTCACAGCAATGCAGAATTCTTGAACGTTGCGTGTCACGTGAGGCAGCACATTGTCTAACATAAATTTGCCGCAGCTTTGAAAGTAAGGAAAGGTAAAAGTCTCAAAATCTTCAATAATATAGCGGTGGTTGTCAAAAATTCGGCAATGCGTATTAAGCGGGTGAGGGAGTAAACTCCATTCGCACAACAAAAGCCGACGAACAAGTAATGCAAGAATCATTATGCCTGTCTCCGCGATACCGCTAGACTCGGATATAACAATTGTATGTTGTAGTTAGAACGAAAATTTTATCTGAAAACACAATTTCTTGTCATTAGTTTGTTCTTGTCTGGCATTCAAAGTACTACTGCAAGCGCATATGCGTGGTTTAGTGTCAACCTAATCGTAGCAATGGACGTCTTGCAAAGATTCTCCTCTTCTGCAGTTAACGTCGAGTTATATGTGCTGATGCAGGTTGTTGTGCAACAGCCCTAATTCTTACTGTAAGTTGCTGTGTTACCTCTTATTGCCATGCGTACAACATGTCTATCCTCTCGTTCGGTGGTGTGACAAGGCTGGTGCAATTTTTCACTTCAGTCGGTACTCTTGCATCCGCAGGAATACTGTATAAATCACTGTGGCTTGATTTAACTGTGTAAATCATCATGGCTTGATTTCACTGTGGCTTCCCATCAATGTGGCTTAATTTATCGGAAACGTAATCCACAATTTCTACACGATATAGATCTTTTGCTGTCAAATTAAAAAACTTGCCTGAATGTCGGCTGTTTTTTTCCGATGAAACACACAATTCCAGCACTTAAATCAGTCCGTGTTTCAAGGTGGTGTTACTGGTGCACTGGCTTGCACATGCTCTGCTTACAAATTATTTATATGGTCTGTAGAGATCTACGCATGTTGAAAGTTTTATCATTATAGATGCTTCCTTCATGATGTTTCTTTTGGACGGGCAGCAGCATGTTTATATGAATAAGAAAGTTGCTGAGACTGTCTTTGAGGTTATCAATATAACCTCAACTATATTAACAATATACTACTAGATTCTATGTTAGTCGGTATTTGAAGAACCCATCATCATTTCCTTTCTGTTGATCTCTCTGAAAGCATTCGCTGAATTTGCGCCAATATTTGCTTTCATTTTATTCTTATCACTATAAATCCCCATATTACTCTCAATAACGTCCACATATAATGTCCTTGTATTGATCCACCTATACTTATCACTGATGTCAATATATTTCTTTATGTCGCTCCTTGTTATTCTGTCATTAATGTCCTTATCATAAAGAATTGTTAAGTACATTGATTATATACCTAGATAGATGTATGTCAATGATGCCACTGACCAAAAGCTTTTTATGTCAATTATTGTAGTAGCAAGAAACAGCTAAATTCTTTTTGTCCAGATTTAGAGTTCCGTTTCTCTAATAGTGATCAAAGGTTGATATTGAAATTCTTCCAGAGGTGACTGTAAAATCAGTTCTGATTTGTTTCTCTGATAGTGATCAAAAGTTGAATTAAAATTATCCCAGAGATGACAGTAAAATTAGTTCTGATTAGTTTCAGAGGGAGGGTTTCCCACTTATTTTAATGATGAACTATTTATGCATTTACATTACTTATTTTGGGGCATTGACCTTCTTATACTTCTTCACATTTAAAAAATAATTTTTCATGCACATTTTATTGCATTTTTCTTATTTTTTGCCATTTTTTCGTATTTGTTTTAGTATGTCTGGACATCGAATCCCAGCAATGGATATCAGCATGTACGCAGGTACAAAGTTCATGGTTCGAGCCCTTACAGAGGGACTTCGGAGAGAGCTGAGAGCTGCGAAAAGCCACATACGTGTTGCGGTAATATTCATGCTAATGTATTCACTTAATCAACCTTTAATTCTCAACATCTCGGTATAATTCAATTTTCTGAACTTTGATGATATTCTGTTGGCCTGTGAAGAGTAAAGATAATCATCCTCCATATCCATACTCTTTGATTAATTAGAAACGCATTAGATTAATTAGAAACGGTGTTTAGAATTTTTCCTATAGTATTTTTGGGGTTATTCTTTTCCTCAAAGGAAAAAGCATTCTACATAGTTATGTTGTTTATGTCAATTAACTCAATTATCTAATTAATTTGCCTGTATTTTCACTTCTACTTTCGTAATTCCCACCAAATGAGAATTAATTAATATCCATAAGCTCAGAGTTCTTGAGTTTTAGAGAAAACACTTTTGACATTCTTGCTAACATGTTTCTCTACTTATGCCTGTCTGCTACTTGAATCAATTGATTGGCTTTATTTTCGACATTTGCACCTTGAATACTTAGGCCTAGTAGTACCTGAGCCATAGCTTATTTAAGCGCATACTGTGTTTAATATTTTAATTTAAATTTGAGCCTTTATTCTGCATTTCTCTCAAGCTTAGGATTTGATTTCTATTACTGTATCAATTTTATATAACTATCAGACTGCCGTGTTAATAAATAAGTTTGTTTTAAACCTTCTTTTAAATTTATATTTATTATACTTAGAAGGTAAGATGAGACGATACGTTATCTGCCTGTCTTTATGTCACAGATCACAGATCATCATTTATGTATAAGATATGCGGCCTGTTGAGGCCTATACCAGTCTATATTTCTTAAGTTCCTAATAGCATAAAGATGAGGGGAAAAAAATCCGAACAAGCGGAAAGTCTCAAAGCACTGGGTGCGGACCTCATAAGAGAAAGAAGTGCGACGCCATCTGTTCACTTTAGAATCTTCAGTAATGGCCTAACTTTGGAGTGACGTTGATATGTAGCCATCCGAGGCCTACGTGATAGCCTATCACGTATCACGTAGGCCTCGGTAGCCATCTGATGTCATGGGATAAAGCATAAGCAACGACGTATCTATGACATAACTTTGAAGAAGTAGATTTTCCTTGAGTAGTTTCTTGAGACAAATTCTATTTGACATAAATACAATGAAGAGCATAAAAATAAGTTGCAAAAAAAGAAACAATTTTGTACAGGTATGTGCGTAAATAATTCTATCGGGACTCGAACCCATCATGGAAAGTTTCCAATTGTTTGTCGAATCTGCTACGCCATAGAGCTGTCGCATACAGAATATAATGCAATACATTTAAAATACAGTCCACAAAACCTGCTATATCAGGTACAAAAATAAAAACTTGGTTAAATATGAATAAAATATAAAACTTGTTTAAATGACGTAAATGAAAAAATATTAGATAATATATACAAGGCCTACCATTTAGAATTGTGATGGATAGTGCGAGGTCTTTTATGATTTTGCTGTACGACGTAGTCATAACTGCCTAATTTCTTAATGATTTCCTTGTTGTGTTGATCACATTTGAGGAAAAATTAAAGCGAGAATTTTAGAATTTGTGAGTCTGTAGGTTTAATCCTAAGGTCATTATGCAGAGTGGAGTTTCTTACGAACCAGGGAGCATTGGCTATGATTCTTAAGACTTTATTTTGTATTCTTTGAATTTTTAATTTGTTCGTACGAGCGGTAGCGGCCCAGTCTGGTGAAGCATAGAGTAGTATAAGTTTTATGGCTTGTAAATATAAAATTTAGTAGCGATGCTAAGAGTTGAGTGTCTGCCTATTAATGCATAAACACTTCAAATAGCTTGGTTTGCTTTCTTGCAGATATAACTGATGTGATTTTGAAAGGTTAATTTTCTATCTATGTGAACACCCAGGTATTTGTTAAAATTATTATCTAATTTCAATAGTTCGTCAAATTCTTTCCAAGTGACATTTTGTTCCTTAAAAGTCCTAAACACAAGTTTGCAATTAACACCTATTTATATATTCCGAACTTTCATGGCAAGGGAGATTTTTGTATGTAAATAGAAGACTTCAAAGAATTAAACATATATGTGGCAAGTTAATTATTTCTCGATACTTAGCATAAGTTAAGTATCGAGAAATACTGGTGGATGATTAATAATCAACATACTGATGGAAATAACATATAAAAGCAACTGTCGCAGGTCTTTTGCAATAAACTTCCGCACAGGGGTCGAGCATAGCTGAAGGACAAACAATAAATGCTTAGCGTGTACACGCTGCTTTTTCTAAGTAATTAATATGTCACTTCGAACTGTGCAGCAATCACAAATGATTTAGAAATTTATTCTATTCCTCTTTCAGTGTACGAACTGAGGCTTCTTTTTAACTGTCTAAGGACTGCGTTCTATATGTGCACAGTGGGGCTGCTAAACTTTCTGAAGCATTTGAGCTAATTAAAAACATTTGAACGATTCGATATATAGCTGAATCAAAAGAAGATTCTTCACTGCTGTTATTCGATGAGGCTTAGCATCGGCATTCATAAAATGAAATGCTCTGCTAATGACATCCAAGAACAAACTAGCATGCTTTGCAATAATCGCTTCCCAGCAGTGGTCATCCATTAAGTTGCTATTTTCCATCAACTTTATTCATTCAGAGTATTACTGACTGTGATGCCACTTCCACAATATCTTACTTCTGCCACAATATCTTACTTCTGTACCCTCTGTCATGTCTTATACCTTTCATGCTATATGAAATGACGTTTAGAATCCTATTGAAAACTAAATCGAACGTCTTCAGAGAGCAAAATATTGGCTTATGGCCTATTGATGAATCTGGCATTTCAAAAACGCCTCCTACGATGTGCTCTCCGGATAACACTATACTATAATTCTTGGAGCATACAGCCCTTTGTAACCGAAATATCGAGCCATACTTTGGAGATATATCCTCGTTTCTGTGCCGTAATAGAGGAAGTGAACTGCAAATCAGAGTACCATTTAGTTATTGCTGGTAAATATCGGCCTTCATTTGCAATAGTACTGAAAAGACTATCGTCTGGAATCAAGAACATAATTTAAATAGTAGAAATCCCTATCGAAAACCTGCACAAATTTTGCACATTTTAAACTCAATTTCAGCTTTGAAGATTGTAAAACCTTCTTCCAAATTTCCTATCATCCTTCTGTGTGTACAGTGACAGATGATGATTTAAAAAAAAATTATGAACATTTCACTTTGATAGATTTTATTGTTCTACTTTCGGAATTTCTGATTAATACAGTTTGTCGGTAATGTTATTTTCCATTTTAGCTGTTGTTACCAAAAGACGAGTAAACCCGTAAATCTAAAAATTTGCATATTCACTGGCCTTTTACGAAACATACTTTAACCATGCAAATCGTAACTAGTTAATTTATCAAATTTTGAAGTGGTAACTTTGTAAAATGATAGCTTTAAATTTTGGACACTTGTGTGTAACACAAGGCTGACAACCCATACTTTCAATTCTAGTTTGCAATCAAGATTTTAAAAGATATGCAAATATCCCTTTCTAGTATTAACTTGCGTAATAAAAAACATCTTATATTTTAAAGTATTTGTTTTAAATTAGATGAAAGTCTAACGTTATTTACACTGCATTATATATTAGTACTTTTGTCTTGGAATTAATAAAACACGTGTTATGCAGAGGAAACTCCCGTTTTATGCTAAAATTTCATTTTCCCCATATTGCTTTTCATAACTTCCTCACAAATAGCTTAAAATTTGGTAAATAATATTTGTATGATAATAAATACAACTGGCATTAAAAATTTTTTATATTAATTATAAAGGCGTCTTAATATATGTTAAATGGAAAATAGTCTCAAAGATAAATAAACAGGTAATTTGGAATAGAGTAAAATTAATGAATTATGTAACTTTAACTAGACAAAAATATATTTAAAAGATTTTGTTTTTGTTCCATATGCAAGCCTTATTGTACGCTTCTTATATGTCTGTACAATATAAATCTTTTCTCAAATTTTCTATATCCAGTATTGATCAATTTATTTTAATCATTATCAATTTATTTGTTTTATGTAGAGTATTAGTCCAGGACTCGTCGAGACGGAATTCGAATACAGATGCTATAAGGATAACCCGGATAAGGCAAGAACTATCTATACATCCATAAAATGCATGCAGCCAGAAGATATCGCTCAAGCCGTTATTTACATCTTGAAGAATCCACCGCATGTTGAAGTGAACGATGTCTTAATGAGACCAGTGGAGCAAGCAGATTAAAGCATTTCCCTACTCCATACCTTCCAAAGTAATTTCAATTAAAAGGCACTTGAAAACAAAAGTGATAACTTTTTATAATAGTTAAATTAATTGTAATGCTTTTAGTAGTTAAATTAGAAATAATTTCAAGCACAGAAGGCAAGATTTAAGGAATTTGCAATCTAAGATAGCTATGTAGGTGAAAAGAATGAATATAAAATGCAAAGGCGAAATTAAGTGGGAACTTAAATTAGATTTCATTTGATCTATGGTAAATAGAAAAATGTATGCTGTACGTCTACCGTGTAGTAGCTTATGTCATGGATGACAGCATGATGATTGTGTATGTATGAAGGTAGATCCAAAAGTTTCCGACCTCTAATAAATTCCTGTTGCAGACATGTAGAAGCAATACTAAATAAATTTGAAAGTATCGGTACAAAATCGTCTGCTTTAACTATTAAGTAAATGAAGTATAGGATAGTTTGTTCTAAAATGTTTAAAGTTGTGTACATTTCTGTGATTAATTTTTTAATTAAAGAAGATCTTAATTTCAAAGAAATAAAACTACACTTCAGTCAAGTATGGCGACTATACTTCTTCCTATTATACAGTAACAGAATGGTTAAAAGAATTTCGCTTGGGCCGAGAAAATGAAGATGATAACTCTCTTAAAGGCACTAATATTACTCATGTTCGTAAGGAAATATTGAGTATTAGAACATTTAAAATACCAGAAGAGAGCAATGGAATAAGTTCTGTATAAAACTGTTATTATGTGTATATTTTTATAATACAAAATAATGTTTGTGTTTGCATAATTTAATTTTTATACATGTTTTTTCTTATGTAACCATACATCTTAAATAAACATAATATTTTTTTGCGAATAAAAAAAATTGCTGGTGATTAGTTTTTCATCTTTAAGTTTCAGTCAATCTTTAACACAAAACAGTTATTTAAATCTTAATATAAGTGCTGTTAAAATTCCTGTGTTATAAATATCATTTGACTTTAACTTATATGAAATGAATATAAAAACTAGACTGAACTTCCTAGCATAAGTGGAAAGATAAAACGAACTAAGTTATAATTTACTATTTGAATTACTCTAAAATGGAGGAGGTGAAATTACGCATACAAAGGAACTGATTTCCCTTGAAATTAGTTAAATGTAAAACACATTATACAATTGCATACTATCATTAAAAAATGCTAGCATTAAAAGTATTGTAAACAAAAAAGACAGTAACTAAGTACTCTCAATAAATAGATTATACTTTAATTGTTCTATAATTTTTAAATTTTCCGTCTTATAAATGCTACTTATGTTTTGAAGGATCTTAATTTGAATGAAAAATGATTAAAAAAAATTTTAATTCTGTATTTTTACTTTTAAAACTTGCAGAACAAATTTGACTATCAAACATCTTAAATAAAAATAAAATTTCGTTATTAAATATTTATTTGAAAAGAACATAAAATAAATTTAATTACATAAAATATAGGACTTGAAATATAACATGATCACCCTTTAAAATAAATCGCTTCCTTTTCTATGAAAAGCTAGCTGCTTCCTTCCTCTTGTTTACTTAATATTTTGCATTCACAGCCTACTTAATTACGAACATCACATTTATTATTATTATGAAAAAAAATCTAAGAACTATATATGTTTCTTTGTGCACGATACACCAACAAAATACTCAAATTTTTTGTTGGCTTTTTTTTTTCAAACACACATTTCGATTATTCTGCTTATTTATTCATGTTAGAAACATTATTTTAGATGGAAATGAAATCTGAAATATAGACATAATTTCGTTATAAATAAATTCAATAAATAAATAAATTTTAGCCCTCTCATCTTCACACAGAAAATCAGAAAACACATTCAGATCTTGAAACAAAATGACCTTTTATCTCACTTCGCTTAGTAATAAGGGCAACGTTTTCTTACCCTCACGTGGTGTGGCTTATTTGCTTCCCTCGGCTTCACTCTTCAATTGCAAAGACGCCATCTTACTACAATAGCAAGACACCATCTCCATGTATTCTAACCTTCTTGAGAATAAACGATGTTTAGCTGATGTCATAATCATCATTTACACTTACCGATAAAATATCAATGATATTAGTTTTCACTTATTTAATCAAATATTATAGATACGTTTAATTTTCTGAATTTATAGATAAATGCACAGTTGGAATCATATACTTATTATTTTTTTCCGAATTCAAATGATTTTCAGCACAAATATCTCTGAAGTTCCTAAAATACAATAAATTTTAAATAACAGCTTGGATTACAGTTGCATTTGCAAAATAACTTGTATGTAATAAAAATGACACTTTCCTGGAGTAAAAGAATTCGCGTAGTAAAAGCATATACTGCAAGGTTTTTTTTTTTTTTTACTTTTCCCCCAATGGCAGATTGTGAACAATTACAAGTGTAACCCAGTCCATTAATCTATACAAGGCCAGATGTGGTGGTCTCTTTATTATGAAAGCACCTAATAGGTGGGCCACCATCGCCTTTCCTATGAAGGGACGGACAATTACAACCATGCCTTCTCCGTATTCGAACCCAGGCCCTTCGACATCGCAGTCAGCTTCCCTGACCACTATACCGACTGGGCGGTACATATTGCAAAGTTTGTGACATAAAACATCTGACTGTAACGAAAGTTTTCCGCGAAAAACGTTCTTAATAAAGTTAGAAAATCTGTACTTTTAGTATAAGTAGTAATCACCACCCAAAGCTATGATTTTTCTGCCAACGTTTTGGGAGTTTTTCAAAGCCTTCGGCCCAGAAACTTGGTGCCACGAGTCCAAAAACAGATGAACCTCATTTCGGACATCCTGTGCAGAATGGAAGATAGACGAGCAAGATGCAGTTGAAGTTGTGAAAAAGCGTAGAGTCCGAAGGAGCAATGTAAGGACTATGTGGTGGGTGTTGCAAAAGATCCCATTCGAGACCGCAAAGAATCCAGCCAGTGAATGCACACGCAAGTGGTCTTGCATTATCTTGATAAAACATTGCCTTTTTGCGACGGAACTCAGTTCGGCATTTTTCCGTGGCAGCGTCAACACGGACTAGCATCTTACTGTACACCTTACAGTGGAGGATTTTAACTTTTTACAGATACTTTTTGTAGATAATACCATGGCAATCATACTGGATACAATGATCTTTTTTTTAGATCCGGGCTCACCGGGCGCAGACTCTCCCTTTTCGGCTTGTGTAGTTGAAGTAAATCCACTTTTCCTCAAAGTAACAATACGTTCCAGAAATTTGTCCTTGCGTTGATATTCGAGCAGATTAGTGCAGTCCAGAACACGTCTGTCCTTATCTGCTTGAGCCAGCTCATGCAGCACCCAGCGATTGAACTTGTACGTCAAGTTTATGCGATGCATAACCCAACTAACGGACATGGCACTGACGTTTAACTCCTTAGCAAGCTCTCTAGTGGTTGCATATTGATTTTCTGCCACAAGTTCTCGCAGGCGGCCTTATCAACATCAGTAGGTCGGCTAGTTCTTGAATGTCATAGTCCTTGCTTTTGAACTTTGGGTACCAAATCTTCACAGTGTCATATGATCCAACAATAGTATCTAAACCTGTACTCATGATTTGGTCACAATCTGCAGTTGCAACTGAACTAGAAGTAAATGATAGCTCTAATCTGGTAGCGTGATAATTCCATTTCAGACACCTTGTACTTAATGATAACGATATTTTTTTTTGTAAATTTCACAATACAGTGTTCTAAAGCAATTCTCTTCCTCTCAAATGTCAAAAAACGTTTAACAAAATATGGTTAAAGTTTAGCAAAATATGGTAAAGAACTGTTTGCCCAGACGATATATGCGGTGGAGTGAAGCTTTCGTTAAAACTCGATATATCATTATTATTATTATTATAAGAGCACAGACCCGGTCTTCCTAGCCGGCCGTATGATAAAAAAAAATAGTAACAAAAAAAATCTGAAAGTTTTTCAGATTTTAAATTACGTCCAAAGGGGCGTTTTTTTTAACGTTTTGTGTGTTACCTTTATTTATTAAATAGCGTGTTCTTTGCACTTAAATCATAAAATTCAGTTCAGTAACAATGTCGCAAAATAATTATAAAATGAGCATATCTTTAGAATTTCCGATACACAGTTCCGCGTCCGAAGATAAAAAGGTTTTTCTCCCCGCCATAGAATGTTGCCATTGCTCGCTTTTAAATCGTTGAGTTTGTTACTCAAATATTCGTTAAAGTTATACAAAATATGAAATCGATAATAAAACAAGTTCCAAATTTCAAAATTGGTCTTCCACATGCCCATACTCGTAGGAGAATTACGTCATTCAAAATTTGATGGCTCTATGTACCGCTGTTCTTTCACAATGCGAGAAATAGACACACATTTATGCAGATTTTTCATTATTTAATTTCTTCAAATATAATGCAAGACTCTAACATTTGGTGGCAACAGTTTGAAAAGTGAAACAGACATTTATAGTGATTCAACGCAAAATCGCAAAACGAAAACAATAGTCCTTCAGAAACAAAGCCTCTTTGAACTAAAAATGGTACTCCCCCCCCCAAAAAAAAAAACAAATAAACCCGATATATACTGAGCTTTAATTCTATGTTCGTAATGAATAAAGTAAGTTAAGACGTTCGTAATGAATAAAGTAAGTACTGAAATCATACATTTCTACGTGGTTCGTTATTAACCCAGAGAAGAAATTTGCCCAGAAGTGCTATTAATTCCATTTTGGCATTTTGCGTCAGTTCACTATAAATGTTGGTTCACTTTTTTAAATTTTTGCCACCAAATATGAGAGCCCTGCATTATATTTAAAGAAATTAAATAATGAAGAATCTATATGAACGTATGTATGAGTCCTCCTTTCGAATATGGGCATCTGGAAGCCCGAATTTGGAATTTGTTTTATTATCTATTTCATATTTTGTGAAACATTAAAGAATTTTTGACTAACAAACTTAACAATTTCAAAGCGAGCAATGGCAACACTGTACGAAAAAAAAAAAAAACATTTTTATCTCCGACATGCGAGACTGTTTATCGGAAATTCTAAATATATGTATAAAATTATGAGGGTACACTTTTAATTTTTAGAAACTATTTATTTACAATCTTAGAATGTATAATCACAGAGAACTGCAATACCAGCATAGTTCTATTTTTTCAATCTCTATCCAAAGTGTTGCCAATTACAAGTTACTAAATATTAAATGTTACCATTTACAAATTATTAAATATTACATCTTCCGTTTTTTTAAAAAGTTCAAAAGTTTTAACAGTCTAAAATCAGTCCAAATACCTGGCCGGCTTTCTAATCAGTCTCCCACTTCTAGTTCTTAGCTCACCGTTCCTTGTTTCTGAGTTAGCAGAGTTTGGTAGTTGATCTTCTAAACTTTGCCCTTGAGAATATCTGGAATCATATCCTTTTACATCTGTTTTCTGTGTATTAACTCCTTGTTCTGTTCCCTCTGATATTCTCATCAACAGCTAAACTGTTTCCTCTAATATCTTTTCTATTTCTTCTCAATACTGATCCACCTGATCTAAGTATATATGATCTAGGCGTCTTATGCACTTCTTCTACAACTGCTGGTTTCCAGCGATTATCTTGATATACCCGAACACAATCTCCTTTATTTAGCAATGGTAATGTTTTTGTATGACGATCATAATATGATTTCTGTTTAGTTCTTTCTTGGTTGATTTTTTCTTTTACATTTCTCACAACTTGAGGTTTAAGTAATTCTTCAGATGTAGGAAGAATCGTTCTTGTTTTCTACTCATAAGTCGTTGAGCTGGTGATCCTAGCATCTCATTAGTTGGAGTGTTCCTATGAGCTAACAATGCTAAATAAGGATCAGCATGATCTGC